TGATAAGGCTGGCAGCAGGAACGCAAAGTCCCTGTGCTCCAGGACAGGACAGGGAATCCCATGAATCTTAGTGGGCTTTAAGGCAGAGGATTGCTTCATGTTGATTGAAAGAGCAGGGTAGCTCCTGTGCTGCTTTTGATGGCTGCAGGAGAAAACCCCAAGAATCCCAAGCTTGGTGCTTGAGCAAAAACTAGCAGGGCAGAAAATGCGACTGCTGCAGAGAGACTAAGACCCATGCTGTCCCCAGAACCATCTGCAAAGTCTGGGAGCAAAACGTGCCCTGGCTGCGCATGAGGATGGTCACAGTGACCCTGAAGAAGCTCTTGGGCAGTCGCAGGCATTGCCCAGGGGCCATGATGGCTCTGGCTGCTGCCCATGCTGTGGGGCGGGCAGGGACAGGCGCCACGTGCTGTTTACTGCACGGGTGACAAGGCGGCTTTGTTCTCCTCCTCAGGACACCCTGAATAACAACTCTCTGGGGAAAAAGCACAGTTGGCAGGAGCGGGTGTCCCGGTCATCGTCCCCTCTGAAAACAGGTGAGTTGTCTGAGAGCAGATGCTTGCATTCCTTGGTACTTCCTAGGAGTCGATCCCTGTCCCAGGGCCTGGAGCAAACCTTGCTGAAACAGAAGGTTGGGAAAATGTCCCCAGTGGGCACTTGTCCAGCTTGAGTCTGGGGTGTCCCTATCAGTGGGAACACCAACACTGCTCTTCTCCTCACAGGTGAGCAGACCCCTCCTCATGACCATGTTTGCCTGAGTGATGAGGTCAATCACCAGAACAGCACAACCTCCACCAAAGACCGGGGCACATCCACAGAAAGCCCGTGCCGGCGCACGGCAGCTACTCAGATGGCACCTGCCTGTGTTGCCTCATCCCGGCCCCCTGAGAAGCACCAGGCTGCCAGCCGACCCCCACCCCACGGTGCCAGCGTGGTGGTGGTGACGTCGAGGGCCCCCGAGGCCCACCGGGACCGCATCCGTTACCAGACAGATGTGAGGCTGGAGGCCACTGAGGAGATCTACCTGACACCCGTGCAGAAGAACTCGGACCCGCTGGAGACCGAAAAGCCGTTCCTGTCACAGTCCAGTGAGAACCGCATGTCTATCAGCTCTGACATCGACACCTCCAGCTACTCGGCCCTGGCTGGGAAAACCAACCCCTCCATCAGTGAGGAGGATGAGGTGCTGGACTACATGTCCTCTCCTGACAAGACGAGCCTACCCCGGGCCTCCTGCGGTGGTGGGAGCAGTGGCTACCGGCCAGGCCATGGCCTTCAAAGAGCATCCGTCAGCTCAGACACCAGCGCCCTCTCCTATGACTCGGTCAAGTACACGCTGGTGGTGGATGAGAACGTGCAGCTGGAGCTGGTCAGCCTCAAGCAGTGCTACTCGGGCTACAGTGACGAGAGTGACTCGGCTACTGTCTATGACAACTGCGTCTCCTCACCCTATGAGTCAGCCATCGGCGAGGAGTATGAGGAGGATGCTCTGAAGCGCGACTCGGTCTGCCTCTCAGAGGACTCCACCCCCGAGGCAGACATCCACTTCTCCAAGAAGTTCCTCAACGTCTTCATGAGTGGCCGGGCACGCTCCTCCAGTGAGTGCTGGGCGGGGGGAGGATGTGGGCTGGGGGTTGTGTCCCCAGGCAGCCTTGCTTAGCCCTGGTACCAGCTTGCCCAGCCCAGGGTGCCCTGCAGGGCCTCCCATGAGATGGAGAAGCTTCAGCAGGCGCTGGTCCTACAGCCTGCGACCTCTTCCCTTGTGATTAGGGAGGGGTCAGCTGGAAAAGCTTTGTGAGCTTTAGGCAAGGGTAGCTGGAGTTGTCAAGCTGTTGTTCTTTTTTGTCTAGTGTGAGGTACGGCCAAGACAGCGCAACCTTAGCTAAGGCCGTGAGGCGTGAGCTGAGGGTCTTGTCCTTCCCTGTGTGTGGTGCTGACCCCTCAAAGCTGCAGCATGCCCCTCTACCTTCCTCCCCAGGTGCTGAATCCTTTGGGTTGTTCTCTTGCATGATCAATGGTGAGGAGCAGGAACAGACCCACCGTGCTGTTTTCAGGTGAGTGCAGGGCACAAGCAGTGTCCTCTGGTCCTACCCAAACCATGTAGTTTCTAGCATGGGAAGCCTGTGAACTAAACCACAGTCCTTAGGCTGTAGTAGGCCCAGCAGGAGCCAGACAGTGGCTGGGCAACATCTTCCCAAGGGTGAGAGACCTCCCAGGGCACCCAGGAGCACTGGGAGCCACATGGGGGATGCCATAGGGGAAACCTCGCATTAGTGCCAGGTACTGTCTCCTTTTGAGCCTGAACCCACTCAGGTCTCTATGTAGCACATCAGATCTTAGCTCCTTCCACCTGCTCCCCAGCTGCGCCGGCCGCAGGCCTTGCACTGCCATTGCTCCAGAGGTGTGTCGGTGAGCATGCCACCAGAGCTGCCAGCCAGCACAGTGCTAGTGACTCCCTGCCCAGGTTTGTGCCTCGCCACGCGGACGAGCTGGAGCTGGAGGTGGATGACCCTTTGCTGGTGGAGGTGCAGGCAGAAGATTATTGGTACGAGGCCTACAACATGCGGACAGGGGATCGGGGCATTTTTCCTGCCTACTACGCTATCGAAGTCACCAAAGACCCAGACCATATAACAGGTACCAAGCCTCCGTACTGCTTGTGTCCCTGATCTCCTGCCCACGTCCTCACCACAGAACAGGGGGTGGAAGGAGGACACTAGGCAAGGAATAACGTGGCCGTGGGCAGCTCCGGCTAGTAGTGGTCAGAGCTTGCACCCATTGCCAGATGGGGAATGGTGCAGGTTTGCACCATGGAAAAATGGTCAACAGAGATGATCCTTGCCATATGCTCTGTCTTCTAGCTCTGGCCAAGAGCAACGACTGGGTGGACCAGTTTCGGGTGAAGTTCCTCGGCTCGGTGCAGGTTCCCTATCACAAAGGCAATGATGTACTGTGCGCGGCCATGCAGAAGGTAGTGTCCCACTGTGGGCTGAGCCTGCCTGGGAGCAGGGAGGAGATGGGAAGGGGTGGGCCATCTTCGCATGCTGCCTGTGAGTGCCAGTGATTTATGTCTGTGTCTCCCTTCCCAGATTGCCACCACGCGCCGCCTCACTGTGCACTTTAACCCACCCTCCAGCTGTGTTTTGGAGATCAGCGTGCGTGGGGTCAAGATAGCTGTGAAAGCTGATGACTCCAAGGAGCACAGCAAGGTAGTGCCCTGCTCACCTTATCCCTTCTACTGTTGCTACTCTGAGCATTGCTATGCATGTTCACATAGAAATTAAGGGCTTCCATCCCATGTGCTCTTTGTTCCTCTAGAAATACCATCCAAAGGGTTGTAGGTCCTCCATTGAGGTCCCTGAAGCCTAGTGAGATCCCAGCATTGGGCTATACATCAGAATGGTGCCCTCACAGATGCCAGGCATGTTGCTGTGCTAGGATGCTTTGAGCTGAGCTGCACCCCTAATCCGTCAGCTGTTCCTAAACCTTTCTGCTGCTATTTAGAGTGGTGTCCTCCAGATCTTCCCTGTAATCTCTTTAGCTGGGCATTGCAAGCTGCTGATTAGTGGTCTCCATAAGAAGCCTAACAGAGCACAGCAAGATGCTGGGCAGAGGCAAGTGAACCTTCCCAGCAAGCTTTTGGAAACCTCCCCTGTGGGTGGGGTTTGGGAGCGTGGCTGTGGGTACTGTTTGGAGAGCTGGGCTCAGCCTGAGCACCTATTTCTAAAGCTGGAGTCCAACTGTCCCACAGAACTGCTGAGGAAGAAAGCTTTGACTGTTCTTTTATCTGTTCCCCAGGTAAACAAGTGTAGCCATTTTTTCCAGCTGAAGAACATTTCCTTTTGTGGATACCATCCAAAGAACAACAAGTGAGTAGCAGGAAGATGGGGCAGCTATCAGTGCTTTAACACATGGAGGCATCACTGCTTTCTTGCTCCCAGCATCATCATCCCACAGCTTCATGTGAGGAGCAGCCTTTGGGTGGGAATTACATCCCTGATATGGGCCTGGGAAGTGTTCACTGCTGGGGTTTGAATCCCAAACCCCTTTGCCAAGGGCGGGCACATGTATTTATTTCTGCCTGTCTGCCAATCCAATCTCACTTGCTCTGTTCACCCTCAGATATTTTGGGTTCATTACCAAGCATCCTGCTGACCACAGATTTGCCTGCCACGTCTTTGTCTCAGAGGAGTCCACGAAGCCTCTAGCGGAGTCTGTAGGGTAAGTCGTGGGGTGGGAGGAAGGTGCTCCCTCCTGAGGGACAGGAGGAATGAGAACCTGGCACCTCTTCCCTACAGTGAGAGGCTCAGGGATAGAGCCAGAGCTGACGCTGCTATGGGCAGCATATTCCTGACAGTGCTGGAACAAGTCCCAGTGCAAAGCTTTGCAGGCAGATGGCTGAAACCCAGGGGCTGTGTGGAAGCTCAGAGCTGAGATGGAGGCCTTGTTCCAGCAGCACCTCTGGGCACTAATGCATGAGGCTCCCAGAGCTGGATCTGGGTTTGACTTGACAGCAGGATGGAGCAAGGGCGAGAAGGGAAGCAAAATGGGCTCTGTAAACGCTATGGGGAGGGTACAGTTGAGCTTTGCTCCATGCTGTGTTGCAGGAGGGCTTTTCAGCAATTCTACAAGGAGTATGTGGAGTACACGTGCCCCACGGAAGACATCTACCTGGAGTAGGGGCTGGCATAGGCACCTGCTGCACAGCCAGGGCTGCAGTCTCGCCCCTTCTGCGTCGTGCATGGACAAGAGCTGCTTTGAGATTGGAAGAGAAGTGGGCCCTGAGAGCTGTTCCCTGGACCCTGTGCTGCCTCTTTTCATGGCTCCCCTTCCTCAGGCTGGGGTGATGGGAGGGGGGAGGGCTGGACAAATCGTGTTTATCGTACAAAATACTTAGTTTATTCTATTTGAGAAGTGCCCACTGGCTGCCCAGTCTGTGATTGCTGGAGGGGTTGGCATTCTCCAGCCCTTCCCTGATGCAAGCTGGGGTGAAAACATCTCCTCGCTGTGACCATGGCTCAGCTTCCCGTCACATCCCTCAGGGGTGACTTCTAATGCACTGGCGGAGTCAGACTCTTGCAGGATGAAGACACAGAAGCTACAGCCAACAAGAACTGTATGATGGCTCCTGCCAGGGCAGAGACCATCACTTCTCTGCCTGGCCCCGGGGATGAGACTGCTGGACAGGAGGGATAGAGCCCAGCATCTCCTCTTTGAGTGCCAGAAAAAGGATGAACAAGCTGAGACAGCTCACCCTTGCCTCTGCCCCCATCCCTCCTCTCTTGTATCCATGCCCTGGGGAAAGGAAGATTTCCTCCTACCTCTCTGTAGTGACCACACCATGGGGAAGGGAGCATTTCTCTGTCCTTGTCCCCCTCTATCCCCTCCAGCTGCAGGTGGCAGAGGCAGGACAGGGCTGAGCTTCCCTACTGCGGTGGTTCTCAGCCCTGTGCAGACTAGGGTGCCCGCCAGAAACAGAGCAGGGAAGGGCTAACGCCTGCAGGGAGCCATACACATCTCCAGGGAGATACAAAAGCTCTCCTGCTCCCTGCCAGCGGTCTCTGTGCTTCAGCTGGATCTGCTGTGATGGCAACTATTAAATATGATGGTTCATGGAGCAGGGCTGCAGTGCTGTTTGTGTTGGGTGCATTTGGGCCCTGGCTTATTCCTTCCCTTGGGGAGCCCAAAAGGAGCTGGAGTTTCTCAGGTTAGCAAACCTTGGAGGTCAGAGACTACCATAAGATCTTGATGTAACTTAATTCTTGTTTTTCCATTTACAGTGCCAGGAGGACTCTGGCTAAAGCTTCCCTGTATTTGCCATTAGGTTGTTGAAGACAGCAATAATATCCCTTCTCAGCCTTCTCTTTTTCAGGCTGAGAAACCCCAGCTCCTCCAGCTTCTCCTATCCTGTAGTGTGGCTGGAGAGCCCATGTTCCTGCACCCCACACCTACCTGAGTGCCCTGCTGTCCCTCACAGCTGAGCATCATAGTAGTACTCCAAGTCAAGCTCATCACGTTTGGTTTTGCCAGCCCTCTGCAGTCCTGCTGGCTGTTCCCGGGGTGTTACGGTCCTGAAGTGAGGCTGTTTTGGTTTAATGCCATAATCTGTGGGTAGACAGTGGGGTGAGGGCTCAGGAGCTGTCTGTGTCATCACTGGACAAATGAGCATATGGGAGGGAATTTAAGGGAAGAGCTGTACCATCCACCAAGCCAAAGTGCTGCTGTGGGAGTTCTAAGGGGGCAGAGAAGTCTTCAGGGACAAAATAGCTGCAGAGGAAAACCAGAGGTGGGAATGAGCCCGAAGCTCTCCAGAACTCCCCATCAACACTACAAGCCCAAGCCTGGTCCAGGAGCACTGGTTACAGAAGAAGGAGCATCCAGCCCCTGTGGCACCACTGCAGGTACTGGGGCAGGGAAGAGGTGGGGGAGTCATCACCTTTGGCGCAGGGGCAGAGGGAGCACAGCCCCCAGTAGCACAGTGAGCAGCAAGAGCCAGCACTGCATGCTGAGCTCTGGTACCCACCACTGTCACATTCTGCACTGAGGTCACAGAGGAACCACCAGGTAGCCCAAGAACTTTTCCTCTCCTGTACTTAGAATCATAGAATGGTTTGGGTTGGAAGGGACCTTTAAGATCATGTAGTTCCACCCCCCCTCCAGTAGGCAGGGACACCTCCCTCTAGACCAGGTTGCTCAAAGCCCCATCCAGCCTGGCCTTGAATGCTTCCAGGGAAGAGGCATCCACAACCTCATGGGGCAACCTGTTCCACTGTCTCACCACCCTCACAGTAAAGAATTTCTTTTTTGGTTCTCTTCTTTCTAGGCTTTATCTTCTTGCACTCCCTCCTTTTCAAATTCCCAAATGAATGGAGCACAGTTCACTCAGTTCATGACTTTCATTTTGCCATGTGGTGGTAACACAGATGCCATGCAGTACCAAGCCCTAGATCCCCTTACTACATGGCCTAGTAAGGGGATGTACCTCACCTTAGCAGCCAAACTGGGGTAGGGGAAGAGGGGCTGTGACTCCTGTATCCTGGGAGGCCCCTGAGGATGGTTTAGGTAGGACTGCTGTCACTCACATGGCCAATTCACCATTGGTCAGAACCAGGTGGCATCACTGGCAGGTTTCTGGCTCCCAGAGTTGGGTGCACAGGTGAGCTGCTGCTCTCCAGGCAGCCCAGTGCCAGGGGCTGGCTACACCCTGTTCTGGGTGACTAGCTAAACTGATGTCTTACATGAGCAGAGGTGATAATGAATATGGCCATAGCTGTCCAGACCTCAGCTAGACCCTTTATTAAATGCTGCACAACAGTATTTGCTCAATCCTTCAGTTCTCTTCTCTGCCCTTGGCCAAGTCCCTAAGCACCGGATGGCAGCCATTCTGCAATCCTATTTAGTATGCATAGGGTACTAGAAAGCAGCCTACAAAGTGCAGCTCTCCTAGCCTCAAGATGAACCCCAGGAAACTTGGGACTGAACCAGGCAGGCACCTGGAGTTACAGACACAGCCATCAGCTAAGCAACATGCAGGGCTCTGCCCAATTAGGCCAGAGCAAAAGGCTTCTAAAGGACGATACAGAAATGGGACCAGCATATCCCAGGCTAGACAACTGCACAAACTGCTCTTCCTGATAGAGAGAACTGTTGGCAACCCAAATCAAAGGCGATCCTTTGTAAGCAAGGGAAAAGAGCTCCTTCAGCTCAGTTCTTTCAGTCAGTTTATTTGAAAGACAAGCCCGCTCCAAGCAGATCGGCCAGGCATGGCCAACACAAGCAGGCTGCAGGTCAGTCTCAAAGCCACAAAGTGGGAGACTATGCTCTCCAAAAATCTCTACGCTGCCTGGCTTTAGTGTAGTGCAGCCATAAAAAAGGAGAAAAATCAAGTGCTTAAAAAAGGTTGTCCCGTCACTCTCACTGCAGCCACAACAGTTCATAGAAAGAGGTGGCCAAAGTCTCTCCACACACGTAGTGTCCATCATTCACAGCCAGATCTGTTAAAAAATTATTTACATCCCCCTCCCCGCCCTGCAGAACAGGAGCTTCTCATTGATGGTTTAACTGAAAATTAGATATAATCAACATGCCTTCCCCCAGCCCTCCCTAGAAACAACCATCCCTGATCTTAGCAAATAAAAATCATAATCTTCTCATCAGCCCCAGTTATAGAAATAGATTTTCTGCCAGGCAGGCAAGTAATCCATCAGTGGCCCTGAAATGAGAGAACAGAGACATTGCACATTTAGAAAGGCAAAGATCAAAAGATGTACACAAATGGTGCCAGTACCCACTCCACGTTATGATACCCAGCAGTTCCAGACCTCCCCTTTCAAAACTAAGAAACCCCTGAACAGAATAGTTATTTTTGCCAAGGTGGGAGGCAACTTTGGGATGTAGTGACAGAGTTTAGAGCAGGACCAAGGAATGCGTGAAACATGGTCAACACAGGCATGATGTGGGAAACCTCTCTCTCAGTGCTGACACACCTGGGTTCTGGTGGGAAGGGACGTTGACAATGACCAAGGGAAAAACCTGCATGCAGCGAGTCAAGAGGACACAGCAAAGAGAGACTGCTCAGCAGTAATGAGCAGGTGCAAACACAAAAGCAAGTGCTGTATAGCAAAAAATGCTTATGCTGGCACAAGGTTTAATGCAGAGAGAAAGGCTGCATTTCAAAGCCTCTCTGTAATCATTAACTGGAGGAGTGGCTCCTGAGTTAGCCAGCTTTGTGTCTTCCTCAAAGAAAGGACAGTTCCACAATCCAATCTAATTCCATATCAGTGCCATGAACTACTCCAGAAACAGTTTGACATCATCAGGGAAGAGGGGTAGGTGAAAATCTGGCCCATAAAAAAGGGATCTTTGTGTGAAGAACTAGGAGAAAACAGACCTGATTTTGGTTTTTGATTTTGGGGCTTTTGGTTTATAATATGCTCTTAGCGGGGTTAATACCTCTTGACAGCTACCCCTCACATCTGTATTGCAGACTGGGGATCAAGGAAAAGGATTCAGAAGCAGGGTTCTGGTGCTGTACTGTAGTTGCAGAAAGCCAGCCCAAGGGAACAGGCGTAGGTGGCAGGGACAAACCTCTGCAGCCTGTGAGGGAATCTAGAAGTCTACCACTGTGGTTGAGTACAGGTTGCAATCTTTTTCTGGTCCATCTTAAAGCAACTCCAGTACCAATACAAGGTACAGTGAAGCTAACCATCCTAGGGACATCCCAATTCCTTTTTCAGGTCAGAAGCTCCTCAACAAATACTCTACTCAACTCCCACGATTTTTCTTCGCCTACAGGAAACAGGGACAAAGCAATGGGTCCCACTTACGTGTGACAAAGCCAAGTCCAGGCACGTAATCAGCCAACAAACGCAGGAGGAAGAGGATCCTTGCCCTAGTAAGGGAAAGAGTATGAATGAGTTCAGTGGGACATCTCCCATCCCAGCTGTTGAACACGTTAACAGTGACAGCAGGAGTTAGGCAAGGGGCTTGTATTAACCTGGTCACAGGCACCCAGACCTCTTCAGATCTGCTCACCCAGTCCCCTGATGCTATTTCTGTTCAAAGGGAAATTCTCAGCAAAAGCTCAACAGGGCCCCTTACTCTGAGTATCGGTCATAGAAAGGAGATCTCAACAGGTAGTACAGCAGCAGGATAGTTCGTCTCCTCAGCTCTGCTCGCTCTCTCCTGTTCAGGTCTTTCAGATCACTCAGCAAGCTCAAACTGGAAGGAGAGGAGCAGAAAGTGAACTTACAGCAACAGCAGCTGACAGGAAAATTAAAGTGAGTTTCTAAATGCTCTCTGCCCTCAGGTCCCTACAGAGCAGTCTGCACCAGAACAGAGTACTGTGTTACAGAAAATACCCAAACATGTTCATCGCCCAGTTAAAAACAAGGCTAGCCCCTGCACACATTTCTGGCAGTAGGGCCTGCCGTGGATTGGGGAGCAGGGGAAAGTGTGATTTTTTTCAGCAAGTACCCACAAAGACTGACCTCGAGATATCCAGGACTGCTGAGAGGAGCCAGGGTTTCCATGATCTCTGTCCCCACACTCCCAAACTCAATACTAGGAATGCACAGTCAAGGAATAGAAAGAACCAAACAGGCCTAACAAGAGGCACAGAGCCAGACAAGCAGCCTGCTAGATATCAGCAAAGCTCTACAGAGCCCGAAAGAAAACACTCTTGGGCACTGCTGGAAGGCTCTAGGGAAGGGATTGGAAGTCTTGTGCACATAGCTCAACTGGCTGACGCTGACCATCAAGATGCAATGGAGGAGTTCCCAGGCCCCTGCACAAGCAGAGCAGCAGCAGGAAGAGAAGTATGGGGTGATCCTACACCACGGCTCAGCAGATGAGCCCATAGCACCCTCTGCTGGCACCCGGGGTACAGAGCCTGCTCTCATGTAGCCAGGGCAGGATACAGTGGAGCAGAGGACGGGTAACATAGATCGATTCTGCGATGGTTTCTTGGAGACCCAGAGGAGTGGGAGGCTGGTTCATCTCCTCTGCTCTTCGGCTCTGTGTCTCCTCCCTCTGCTGGGGGGATCCCCAGTGCCTGGACTGCAGGGAAGGAGCTGAAACAAGCACATCAGGTCACTCACATAACAAGTACCTCCCTACAGTCAAGCTCATCTCTCTTTGCACTGTGAAGTAGGTGAGCTGGAAGAGAAGCACAAGCAGCAAGACTATGGCTGCACCTTCCTTGTTGCTGCCACTAAACAGCAACCTCACTGCTTGCCTGAACAAGGGAGGCAGCAGGGAGAAATATTCTTAAGATTCATGTTTCTTAAAGCAGAACTACCACTGGTCTTGCACCATGTGTGAGAATTCCCATTGCTGTAGTATTTCCCTGCCCATGGGGCCCAGTGACTGGCAGGATACACCCCCATACAAGCTAATCAGGTTTTTTGCTCTTTACTGCCCACATACAGGACCATACATCAAGGGCACAGAACAGAAGCAGCTTAGACAAACACAGAAAACAGGCTCAGCTACTTACTATTTTGGAGAGATCTCACAACACGGCTGGAACGCCTACCAACATAGGTCTGATCTTTCCCTGAGGAGTTGCCTTCCACATCTGCAGGAGAAAACAGCCACAGGGGTGAGGCTCTAAAGGAATGTATCTCAATTGGTCTCTATATTGTCAGCAAGAAGACTGCACCAAAAGTTTGATCTAGTTCAAAGTGGACCATCCTGAAAGTGCTAACATTACAGAGCTCTCAGAGGGTGAAGAGAGACATTTGCTTGGCATTACCCATCAGAGCAGTGGACTCACAGTCTGAGCCAAAATTCAGACAGTATTTCCCAAACTAAGGACAGCACTGAGAGCTCACCTTCAGAGTGGAGAGACTGCTGCTGCTCCCTGTTCAGCGGCACTATAGGAGGAGACGTCTGGATGCCAGCTTTATACCACAGCAGCAGCAGGAGGCGGAGGATGGCCCTGCAGGCAGACACACAGGAAGCCTTCAGTACCCAGTTGTGGAGCTGGGTTGTGCTGTGCCCGAAAGATGACATTCCCAGAAGAGGGAAACACTCAGGTCTGCTCAGGGAAGACACGAGAGGCATCCTTCTGCAGCACAGTACTCCACACTGCAGGAGGCTCCACACTCCCCCAGCCTCAGGGACCGGCTGCTCAGTCTTGCATGGGATTTTTCCTGGGGTAATGCCAAGACCCCTCCAGATTGCACATCCAAGCACATGCAGCCCCCTTCCCCACCGCCTGTGGCACTTACTTAGCCAGCTGGATGAGGACAATGATGGTCCATCGGCCCATCTCTCCCCACACCCTGGCTGTCCCCATCTCTGCAAAGACCTCCACACATTCTAGCACGCTCAGCCAGGTCAGCAGCTTCTGCTGGGGCAGTGACTGCAAAACACAGGAAAGGGGGACAGGATGGAGGTTCTGCTTGCAAGTTGAAAGGGAAAGATGCACAGCCTAGTCTGGTGGGATTCTCGGAGCTGAAGGAGCAATGGCCCTGGAACTCAGAGCCTCAGAAACAAGAAGTGGTTCCTCTCCTACGGCCAGAGCCTACATGCAGGCCTGTTTCCCTACTTCTGAGCAGGAGCAGACCTGGATATCACAGTACCATATGGAGCTGCAACTCCAGAAATGGGGAAAATATAACAGCTGAACTCCAGTTTGCTTTCTATCTGAAGTGAAGCAACTAGCAGTCTCCTGGGTAGCCGCACAGTGCCTGAAATCCAACGGCAGAACTTTCCTCCTCCTCTTTCTAGAGCTGGGACACTTGATGACTCTCTTCCCCAGGCACAGCTGATGGGTACACTGATGGAGCACAGGGTCCACTGCTGCTCTGAAGCAAATGCCTGCCAAGTACAAACTTATAGCATCAGTCTGGATCCCAGGCATGAAGCCCACAGCAGCCTGGACTCTTTCTGCAACAGAAATTGCCGGTGCTGTTCACCATGAAGTACAGCCTATATTACGTGAAAAGCACCCACAAAGAAGATATAGCTGAAATTCACCTCACCCCACACTCAGCTTTTATCACCAAGGGAAGCGAGTCTTCTGCTCAGATGGTTGTCACATACCCCGTGTTCCGGCCAGGGCCGCCTGTGTGGACTGACACCGAGCAACCCACATCCAGGCCCAGCGGGCAGGCAGGCGTGCAGCAGAGGGCTGTCTGGGAAAAGAGGAGCCCTCCTTCTCCTTCCCCAAAGGGTCTAACTGAGGGCCGGGAGCCGGCCTGGGGATCTGGCGAAAGAGGCGGCAGCCAGCTGCTTTCACCTTCGCTTTGCTCAACACCGCAAGCAAAGAAAGGCTCGGTCGGAGCTTCGGCCGCTCCGCAGACAGCCACGGTCGCTGAGCGGATCGGTTCCGGGCGCAAGTCGGGGCCCGATCCCCGGAACCCGAGGAGCGCTCGGCTCCGGGCCGGCGGCCCAGCGTTCGGCAGCCGTACGGCGGCGGCCGCGGGCCCTGCCCCCGCGCTTACCCCCGGCAGGCCTCGGGGCAGCTCCTTGCGCAGGATCCAGTCGTTGAGCAGCACCAGCAGGTTGGAGGCGGAGTACACTGCAGCGGGAACACGGCGCGGGGTTACGGGCGCGCCGCAGACGGCCGCGGGACCGCGCCCCCCGCCGCCCCGGGCCCTACGTACCGAGCTCCGATAGCTCGTGGGCGTCCGCGAAGCGACCTGCGGGGAGAGGAGAGGAGCGTGGCCGTGACGCGGCGCCGCCGGGCCGTACGCGGCGCCGACACGGGGCGAGGGCCGATCCGCACCTGGCAGCAGGTAGGAGAGGCCGCGCACGGTGCCCTCCAGCTGTGCGGTGGCGGCCGGGTGCCGCCGCACGTACTCCTGGTAGCGCTGGCACAGCTGCCGCAGCCGCTGCACCGCGCCGCGGGACGGGGCCGCCGCTGCCGCCATGCTCCCGCACGGCCCCGCGCTTCCGGCCGCCGCCACACCGCGCACGCGCGACCCGCCCCGCTCTGCGCGGCCGACGGGCGCCGGGGCGGGGGTTTAAAGGCACGGCGGCGGCGGCACGGCAGGTGCGGGGCGCGGCGTGCGGCGGCGGGCTGGGCGCTGTGGCCGGGAAGGGGCGCGCCGGCGGACGGAGGGGTGGGAGGCCGGCGGCCGGCCTGTCAGCCGCTGGAGGGATCTCACGGACGCGTTCCTGTCGCGGCCGGGATCGGGAAGGCGGTTCCCACGAGAGCCGTGCCCGCGGAGCGCTTCGGCTCGCCCGTCTTTGGGCACCTGTCGGGGGCTTGTTTCTGGAGGCGGCAGCAGTCCGTGCTTCAGAGGGTTGGAACTGCGGTGTCCGGCTGCTGTGGGGCCTATGAGCGCTGCCCGGGGGTCTGTACTGCACGGACGGGTGCCCCGCAGCCTCGCGTTCCCTTCCTAATACGTGAGCCTGCCCTCGTGGAGCCGGGGGACGTGCTTAGGGCCAGCCCGCAGCCACGCGGTGCGGCTCTGAGAGATCCGCGTGACTGTGGTCACGCTGTGAGCTTTGTGTAAGTGCCGACCCTGTTCTTCAGATACGGGGTGCATCTGGCTGCAGCCTGTTGCAGCACGGGGCACCGAAGCTGTTTTCTTCCCTGCTGTGCTCCATCCCTGCCTGACTGGTGCTCCTTGGCCCCGTGCTGAGTCTGCGTGGCCCGGGCTGTGTGACCTGCTGACCTGGGCCGGGCACAGGGCACTTCAGAAGGTGCACAGTGTGGGTAAGGAAGGCGTTTTATGGCCTCTTGCAGCTGCCCCGGAGCAAACGGAGCCCTGCCGTGCTGCCTCTCCTTCCTCCTGTCAGGTTACCTCTGCACAATGGATGCAGTGTGTGCCCGCAGCCTCCACCGCGAGCGTTGCCATTGCACGGGCAGGCACTTTATCCTCTCTGATCTCTCTGCTTCTCCCCCCTTCCCCTGAGGGTTTGTTTTCCAGCAGGCTGAGTTCAAAAAGGGCACGAGATACAGCTGGCAAACAGCCCGGCACTAAGCAAACCGCTTCAGTCTGAATTGCATGGATTAGACCCAACTTTCAGCTCACATGCAGAGCTACCTGGAGCTGCTCTGAAATGCAGCAGTGGAGATGCTGGCGTGAGTGTCAAGGTGGGGTGAAGTGGCACCCGGAGCCTGTGACAGGTTGGGGACAACTCATCCATGGTCACTGCATGCTGCTGATGACTCTGGGGGCATATTCGGTGCAGACTGCTGGGGCTGTTCGCCTTCAAGGAGACAATCTGGCCTTTCCAGACAGCAACTTGAGAGCCAGCTGCTGAGGAGTCTGCTGGAGGCACCTTGTCCGCAGCCAGAGGTGAAGCTTGATGCATCGTGTCCTTGAGCCACTCTGAATGGTGGCACCAGATAGAGTAGCTCATCCTGAGTGAGAGGCTCTTTGGCAGAGGATTCACTCCCTGCCCCACCCCTGCTTGTCCTGTCTGACTTTCTGTCTCCCTCCTGCCGTGAGCGAATTTGGAGGACAGTTGGAGTACCATCGTGGTGCCTTTTTATGGTAAATAAGCTGCAAGGGAGCACTCGCTGCAGGAGGAGCTGCTGAGAGCCCATGAGATTGGGAATGATTTAAATTGCTTTGGTTTATAACGTCCCTTGTGGGGGCAGAAGGTGAAAGGATGGGTTAAGCAGCAGTTTCTGCCCTGACTACCAGGAAGGATCTCTGAACAGCTCTGTTCTTGCACTTACTGTTGGTTGGAGTGACAGAGATTGGTGCTTACTGGAAATCCTCTGACTGAGGCCAAACGGTTCCTATGCTCCAATGACGAGGGATGCAGGCTCAGCAGTAATGGCAGGAAAAGAAGCAAACCCGAAAAGCACATGCTTTGCCAGCTCATCAGTGGGGGCCATGCTGAAGTCCAGCTTGCTTGATTGCCAGCAGTTTGCTCTTGGCTCAGAGCTGCCAGACTGCACCACTTCTGGGGCAGCTGACTCCAGGCAAAGCATTGCTGTGGGGCTGAGACAGCGCTCCCCAGCACTGGAGCTGGGATACAGGATAAGGCAGAATAGATTCAATGTACTGATGCATGGTTGTGCCTTTGGAGGTTGGTACCTGGCGGAAGTTGGTGTTCTTCCCAGCCATATCTTCCTGCTGCACTCCCACCAGCAGTGAAGGAGCCTGGCAGCATGAAGTTTGGGGCATAGATCCTTCTTATCCTGGTGTGGAGTGGCCCTTCTGGCCCAGTCTCCCCTGCATGCACTTTCAGCCTCACTCAGCTCTCATGCTGTGATGTCTGTAATGTGCTTTTGGGTGAGCTCATCAGCCCTCTGGGATGGCTGGGGATAAGTTGTGGCTGGCTCCGAATGTCTTGTGGGGATTCATTTCCAGAGATTATTTTGGTCCCTGACACATGAGCCCTGACGAGAATGGAAGGCTTCATGCACTCATAGCATCTCTGTGGGGGCACCTTTCAGGAGAGCCTGCAATTCCTGCCCAAATGAGGAGGTGGGCAGAGAACTGCAGCAGACCATGTGGGTGGCTTGTGTGCTTGTCCCCTGCTCCCTTTCAGCCTGCTGGGAACCAAAGGGCTGCACCAGCAGACGGTGGTGGTGTGGTTCCTGTGTTCCCAGAGTGTCAATGGTGGTCCACTGGAAAGAAAAACCCAAATCAGCCAAGCTGAAAGGGGGGTTAAGTGAGCCCTCTGACTTGGAGGCATTTTCTTTCTGTTCCCTATCATGGTGCTGCTGCCCTTCCCAGCTTAGCTGAGACTTGGCACCTCTTCTTGGCTTCCCAGGAGGAACAACATGCCTGGCAATGTGCGCACAGCCTTGCTGTGAGATCATGGCTGCCTCCTGCTTCCAGATGCCTCTTCCAGAAAGCCATTTAGAGCCCTGGGCTGCTGCTTGGATAACTCCCTGCTCTGATTCATCAGCAATGTGCAGTCTCTCCCATTATATCCCAAATCAGCCTGTGCTAAAGGCTGAGAGCGAGAGGCACTATCTTTTAATAACTATGTGATGCAGCTGGAAAAAACTTCAGGACTTGTAGTTTGTAGTTCTCTAGTGGCCTGGGTTAATGGGATGTTTGGGGGGGTAAACTGGGATGGCTCTAGGAACTTCAGGCAGCAGTGCTGCTGTAGGGCTATTCCTGGCTGAGTAATGGCCACTGTAGGCTCCACCTCATCCGTCTGGGATTGCCACACCTGTACAGGGAGTTTGCTCTTGGTGGTGGGAGGATCCAGCTTGTTTGGCAGACATGTGCCCAGCTCTCACTGCTCACAATCACCTCTGCTGAAGGTGCCTTTGGTTGCCCAGCTCACAGCTGTTGGAACTACACAGCTTTGTTCTCGGCAGCTTCTGCTACTTCTTCCAGGTGGGTGCCTGAGGCTTGGCTCTTAGCTGCTGATACTGTGTGAGACTTGCAGAGCAGAGGTAGTATGAGGCTTTGTTGCTGCAGGAGAGTTTTGCTGAGCACCCGTGCTGTGTTTCTCCACCAGAGTTGCTTGGTTTTACTGCTTAGTTAGCAGCTGTTGTGCTACAGTGCTACTGGCCCTTTTTCGGACTGATGTTGTGTACCTTGTTCCCTGTGTGCTGTGGTACGGGATCTTGCTGAGATTAGAGGGATGCAGTGGGAGCTGTATGCTGCACTCTCATTTATCTGTTGCTTTGTGAAGCAGAAAGCAGATCAGATAAATCAGGAAGATGTGTTGGGAAGTTTTACCATGGCTTGAAGATGCTTGTCCATCTGCTGTGGCAGGTAAAGGGTGCTCAGCCCCATGTGAGCCAGAGGGGTATGTGTGGGCTGCTCTGCTCCCCGTGGTTTAAGTGGCTCTCTCTGTCCCCCTCTCTGCCTTTATCTTGTCTCTGGGCTGTGTGCCTGTCTGGACCGACTCCTGACCCACCTCCAAACTGCCCAGGGTATGTTTCAGTGCTCAGGTTACTGAACGTGATAGTTAATCTCCTCACTGCCGTACAAGTTCAACACTTGCTACTGCCTTCGTTTGAGAGGGAGCCAGGGGACTTGTGTTCCTCTCCCAACTCCTGCTAAAGAGTTGGTGTGAGGACTCGCACGTGTTGTAATGGAGCATGGTGGCTCTGCCAGCACTTCTGGGTATGGCCCTTGTGTGGGTGGGGCATGTGCTATGGGATGCAGAAGTGCTCTGGGTCTAGGAATATGCAGCACATGGATCATTTCCCAGGGGCTGGTTGGGTAGCCTCAAATAGCACTGAGCTGTGCTGGGTAGCAAGCTGGGGAAAAGGGGCAGAATGAAGGCGTGAGATGGTGCTGCTGGTGATTTATAATGCTCCTGGCTGTGCAAGGGCCTGTTGCCATAGCTCTTCTGTCCAGTAACTCTTCATGTGACTTCTGGTTTTCAGGTGACAGCAAGGTGCAAAACCCTCAAGCAGAGCTGGGATGTGCTCTGTGCACCTCAAGATGGGAATCCCTGCTTAGAGGGTGGTTCTTACAGCTGCTACTGCGCCCTGCCAGCTTTCTCAGCTATTGCCACGTACCCCTACAACGCTGAAGCTTCTGAAGGTTGGTAATCTTGCTTTCTGAGTAGATGAGTTACATGTGCTTGCTTTCCTCCTGTCCCAAAGGTTCTGTGCTCAATATGGTAAAGTGGGGGCAATTGTGTGGCACTACAGGTTTCCTCCCTGTTCAAACGCGTGTGTGTTGAGAATGTGCAGGGAGTCCTGGTAACAGTGCTGGCACTTGTAAGCCTCTGTAGGCAAGCTCTGCAGGGAAAGACCAGATTCCTGCATGAATCTGTAGAAAGAAGTGTGCTCCCATCTCTATTGCTGTCTCAGTTTAACTTCCCTTGAGTACATGCTTCAGGATCCTCTTCACCAAACACCGGAGTGTTCTATTGCTTGTTTCTTACGTGGTGGGCAGTCAGGGACTGGGGCTGAGGAGCTGGAAGAAGCTCTCTGTGCCAGGGGAAATGGGATGACACTCTTCTGAAGGCGGAGAGCTTGCGCTGATATTCTTCTCTAGTAACTTCTTTTCCCTCTGCCCCTACCCTAAGTGTTTCTGTGGGGCCACTGTTCTCAGTCGCTGCCTCTCCTCCATCACTCATTAGTGCACAGCTTGGCATGCCAGCGGAGGGGGCCTCAGCATGTCTGCGCCTTGATCGGATTTGTCAAGGCTCCTTCCCTTTTCTTCCTGTTCATTGAGGGCTGAAACAAAGCAAACAGAAGAGAGGAATTCCAAAGAATAGGAGTGAGGGAAGAGAAGGACGTGGGACTGACAGGCTGCCCCTGTTCTCCCTTGTCTGGTGGGGCAGAGGGGGAGGCAGAGTATTTCAGGAGGTGAGACCTTTCCTGTTCCCAGCCATGCCACCAGCTGTCTCGCCCACAGTGCTGGGAGCAGTTGTGTGCTGCAGCCCAAAGCTCTTCTGACCCTACTGCCTGCTGGTTTTCCTTCTGAGGCTGTCCCTGTTATGTGCTGAAGGACACCTTCAGTAAGGAATGAGGCTTGGGCCTACTGCCTTCTCTTAGAGTTGACATGGGGGCCTTGATAGAGCCTGAAGGGAACAACAGTGTTCAGACTGCTTTGTCATGTGCTGTGTTAGAAAGGTTTCTCTCTTTACCTGTGCCAAGAAAGTTTCTCTGCTAGATAGCTCCTAATGAGCCCAGCACAGAGCTGCGTGTGCTGTATGAGTGCCAGGGCAGCAAGACATCAGCCCCTCCCAGATGGGGCCAGATAAGTGCCTGAACAAGGAACTTCTGTGCAGCCAGGTCTGGGAAGTAGAGACAAATGTGGCTTGGCACTTGAAGGCTTCACAGAAGGCAGGGACTCAGAGGTGAGTCCTGGTCAGCCAGGCTGGTCTGCCTCAAGTGCAGTTTCGCCTTGCCTTCCTGGCCCTTACTCCCACCTCTGCCATCTGTAGGACACTGTATGGGTTTCCTCTTCCCCTTGCCCTCACTCTCGCTAGGGCTTGGCTCACAGGAAGCAGCAGGATGTGAAGCAGCCTTGGCGTTCAAATCCTTGAGGTGAAATACATCCTTGTGAATGACCCCCGCATAGCCCATCTTGCGTGAAAGCTGCTAGGAACAGCATTTTAGCCACAGCCTCCGTTCCTTTTCCTCCTTCCTTCTTGTTCTTTCCCTTCTGGCAATCTCTCTGCTCTGTGGTTTAATTAGAGAGCAAAGTAAAATGCTTAGACTCTAAAATGTACAGATTAGGAGGGTTACTAATCCTTTTCCTCTATGGGTGCTCACATCCTATCCAATCAGATATTGAGTTCCTTCCCCAAAGTGGAAACCCAGCCAAACTCAAGGCCTCTACCTCTCCTCCTGCTTGGAGCACGGGAGGAAGAAGGGAGAGAGAGGAAGCAGGAGGGAATTGAGCTGTGGGCTTTTGCGGTCCTCAGGGTGGGTTCATAGTCAGCACTGGCTGTTCTCACTTCTTGTGCCTTGGCTATTTTGGGTGTTCTAGGAGCAGTGAAGCAGGAGCTGTGATTCCCCTGCTTGCTGTTGTCCACTGAAGCAGTTCTGCCAGAATGTTTCACTGCTGACCACAGAAACCTTTCCTTAATTCATTTTTGAGTGCTATCTTCCTGTTCTGATAGGGAGGAAAGGTAGGGGGGAGAACCACTGACAACACTTTCTGGCAGAAGAAGCAACTGCTTCCCTGTACACACGTTCTTGTGTGTTTATACACTGAATGAATTGGTCTGAGTCTACTGCTTTCCTTCTGTGCATACACCTCTCCATGTTCCCCGTTGTCAGTCCTGCACTCTTATTCCTAAATTTGACCCTGATGGTTGCCTGGTGGGCTGAGGTCTGTCCCACTCCTGCTGTGGGCTGGGTGTTGAAGAGGTTCTGGTGGATTGCGGGAGACTTAAGCTTTTGTCCTGAACCACTCATCTGCCGCTTGGTTGAGTTGAGGCATGTGTTTTCTTCCCAGCCTTTGTCCTCTGCTGTGAAAGTTCAGGACTTAGCTCAGTAGTGTGAGGAAGCCCTGGGGGTGGGAACAGAGTTACCAGCAGGATAAGATGGGGAGGAGTACTGGGGAGGTTCAGCATAGTTTGGGTTTCAGGGGTATTTTTGTCTCCCCTTTCCTTCAGGAACCACCTTCTTGGGATTCACTTCCCTTCTTTTTGCCCCTGTCAGTTGCTTCCTTGTGTCCAGTTTGCAAAATACTCCCATGTAGGTTCTGTTGGCAGCTGAGTTTGCTGACTCTCAGACCAACCAACAGCAATACTTTTGCAGTGTCAGAGCTAATTTGCAGTGCATGTCTGTAGCTCAGATATCACTTCAGAGCTATGAAATGCCCACGGTACTCTGACTGGATGGCAGTATTGCTGCTTGGGTTTTTAATACGTCCCTCAAGGCAGGGCAGAGCCTGCCCTGAGCCATCCTCATTTTCTATTTATAGTGCAGTTGTTCCATTCTTTTGCAGCAAGCTCTACTTTCAGCCCTCCTTGGGCACTGAGGGCATCAATGCCACGAATAGCCCTGAGTGAAGATGTGGGAGTGGCTGTTGGGGCACAGCTCCCAGTTTGGGCCAGTCCCTGGTGGAAGAGGCCAGCTGTGAGCAGCTCTGCCTTGTGATGAGTGTCAGCCTCCTCTGTGCTGTCATCCGTTTTCAAACGAGATGCAGAGGGTCTGCCCTTCCTTTCCTCTGACATGCTTTCAAGTGCCTGGTGAAATGGATTTGGGCACTGCAGGAGGTGTTCAGAAGAGCAGCCCCAGGGAGGGACCTTAGTGTATTGGCCAAGGTCTGGAGAGCAGCTTGTGCAAGAAGCCCTGCCTTGCATTTGTCTTTCAGCCAGCGGTGTGACCTCTTGGTACTCTGAACTGCTGCTTGCTAGGGCAAGAAGATGCCTCTTCTCTGCTGTACTTGGCCTCCCTCAGGGCCCCGTGAATGCTTGCTGGTCTTGGGAGAGCTCAGTCTGAGGTCTGAGAGGAGCCTGCAGTGCAGAGAGCATCACCCTCCTTAGTGCTGCTGCTTAAACACAACTCCTGCATCCCTTTGCTTCTGTTGCTCTCAGCTTGTCTGGAGAGCAGAGCTGAGCAAATAATTCATTGCTTCAGTGTCCAAAATCAAAGGCTGGAAGAAAATGAGAGGAACCGCAACCCAGTTTGAGAGACATTTTTTATCTTTTAAATGTAACAGAGCTCAATTGCAAGCAAAACAATGCGAAGTGAGACTTTTTGCTTGGAAAGCAAAGCATTTTGTTCTTGTTCAAAACTTGTCATGAAGTAGCAAATACTCCAGAGCTGTCTGGAAATTTCACTTCTCAATCAGAAACTATTCAGCCATAAACACTTATCCAGTTCGGCTGGCAGTGAGATATCCTAGGCACCTGGGGCCTGGCTCAGAGTTGCACCCCTGACATCTACCCAGGGTTGGTAGGGAGGAGGGATGTTTTGCATGAGAGGACACCTCCTGCCAGTCCCTACCTTGGTGAATCGGGGTAGGTTGCACGCTGCTAGCTGGAAGTTTGAGGCATTGCTATGCACAGTGACAGTCTCATCCCTTTGCTTTGTGGGGCATGGTGACTGCTGTGTGCTCCAGCAATGGGCATTGCTAGAAGAGTTGTTGCTAAGACAGACTTAGAAGCTGGAGCTCCTGACTGCTGACCCTGCTGTTGCTTCTTAGCTCTTACCCCAGGAACATGCTGCTGTTTGCCGCATGCCTGCAGCAGTTAGGAGAGCCAGAGGAATCAGGAAATGGCCTAGTGAGCAGATTTCAGTGTCCGGAGACAGGGACACAGTGAACCTTGTGCATTCAGAGCTGGCCATTAGCTGCAGCACAGTCATCAGCAAAATGCAGATATTAGAAACCTGATCCCAGCGGAGGGATGGGAGTTGGAGATCAGCCCAAATGCTTTTCCTCTTCTGTTTCAAGAAGTGTACAGGATCCTTCTGTCCCCTGTTGTACTGCTGCACAGAATCCAGGCTTGGTTCTTCTCCTCCTAGCTGTGTTGGCCAGGAGAGCACATGATGATGTGATGCAGGCCTCTGTGTCCTGCTGATTCCCTTGCTGCACAGAGCGACAAATGCAGCATGTGCAGAGGCATGCAACCCAGGTGTGGCTGAACGCTGTTGCCAGCTGGGTCTTTCCAGCCTCTCCACAGGCTTAAGAGGAGTGAGAGCACATTGCTGACAGGGCTGGGTCTGGGTGGCCCTATCATGCCTTGCCTGAGGGTGGTGGTGAAATGCACCTGCGTGGCTTGCAAACATTGTGGGACATCTGGCAAACCTAAGCTTCCTGCACACTGCTCGCATGCTATGCTGTAAATCCTGGCTCCCTGTGCTTGCCCCACAGATGATGCAGCAGAACTGGGTGCCCAGCTGTGGGTAGGAGCCTGGCTGTGTGCTCAGCTAGAGCAGGCTATGTCTAGCAGAGCCTCATGATCAGTGTTCCTGCCAGCAGGAACTGTTCCCTGATGTGTTCATGGGCCTCAGATGTGGAGAGACAAGCAGTGAGGCATGTGCCTGTGTCAGGCTCAGTCTGGACTTGTTGGTTTCCTTGTGCTCTGAGAGAGAAAAGGAAATAGTCTGGTGATGAAGCTCCCTGCTTTGGGGGCCATTAGCTCCTGTTTCCTGAGCGGTGTGCTCTTCTGTCAGAAGAGAGTGGCTTTTTCAGTGTGACCTTTGTGGAATAAAATACACAAGAACGAGGCACAGCTGAGGCACAGAAGCAAGGGGGTGCTCATCTTAGAGCTTTCTCCGTAGCTTGGTGATTGTGGAGGGATGGCAACAGTGTGTTCTTGTTTTACAGCCTGTATTCTGGTCTCTCACTCTGTGTCTTGATCCCATCTCTGGAATATGGTGACTGCTTTGCCACAGGTTGTTCTTCCCAAGGAGATACGGAGGTGAAATTCTCACTTCAGTTTCACTTATCATAAGACTGGGAGAAGGAGGGGTGGAGTGGTAATCCGGAGCATGGGGCTTTAATCCTGCTTTCCTGGCCAAATTCCTTTCCGCCTCTGTACATTCCTGCATCTGCTCTGCTCAGAGCTGCCTGTGTGGTATCTGCTGGTGCGGCCCTTGTCGCATGGAGGAGGCATCTTGGAGATGGGAAGGGAGATGACCTCTGATTGATTGCAGCTGGGTGCTGCGGAGCTGTGATCTGCTGAACAAGGAGCCCGCCTGTCCCCTTGTTTTTACTCAGAGGAGCAAAATGAATTGTCCCCTGTTGCCTCTCCTCAGAGACTTTTTTCATCTCTGTCTCTTTGCTGGGTCCGGCCCAGCAGTTTGCTTGTGCTGGGGGAAGGTGAGCCTTGGGCTTTCACATGACCCGTGCTAGCGCTCCCTAAACATTAACTCCTCACCTGATGGGGAGCAGGGAGTCAGGGAGAGCAAAGGCTGGCTAGACTGAGCCAGAACAAGGGCACTGCGGGGCTGTGGGCAGCCTGGGGGCATGGTGGGCAGGTGCTGCTGCTGACTCCTCAGAGGTCAGGCAGGCACGTGTGGCTTTCCTCAACACCCTTCATAGTGGTGGTGGCTGACGTCTCTCCCAGGCCTGGCTGCAGGTTGGTGGCCTCTGACTCCTGGGTGGGAGGCCCTGCTGGGCCTGGAGCCCTGTTAGTACAGATGGCTGTGGCCCTTGTGTCACTGCAGGAGGTGGAGGTGAGGTGACCCCTATTGTAGCAACGGACTGGCCTTGGGGGGACCTTGAGCCCCTTTGTCCTGTGTGTCCCCACTCCTTCTGGAGCTGCCCTGCTCCTGTGACAGGCATGGGGGAGGGAGGGGGGCAACCTGCTGTGGCCAGCACTTTACCCCGCATCCTTGTGCTGGTGTTGGAAATGGAGAACAGTGCTACTGGGGAACAGCTCATCTTACCATGGGCAGTGCTCATCTGTTGTGAGCAGGGAGTGTGAGCAAGGGAGGCTGGGGACAAGTGCCGGGGCTGCAGGTATGGGTAGAGCTGTGTGCGGAAGGTGTGAACGCTGCATGCAGACCAGTGCATGGTCCACACCACAGGCAGGGCCCTCCACACAGCGCACACTCACATGATGCCATGGCCACTGGTTCCCAGAGTGGCGCTTGGCTGAGAGCTGCTCTGTGCTTTGCTCTCCTCACTGTGTGGGGGAGGAGAGGCTGTGTAATTGCCTTCCTGCTTGCCACCTCCTCCCCTCTTTCCCCCCCCTCCGCAGCCCTAAAGTTCCTACGTGATGGATAGCATGGGGTGGGCAGGCCCTGGGGCTGAGATCCACTGAGGAGTGAAGGTAGAGCTCCCACGGAGGGTACAGCTGGCTCAGGGGAGTGGGGCCCATGGGGGTTTGCTCTTGCTGCTGGGGCCAGGCTGGGCAGGAAGGTGCTGTTAAGGTGCTATTTATTAACTGCCTGTTCTGCCTAGAGCTCTGCAAAGACAAGCACGAGCCCGAGCAGGAGGTGAATGCATCTCCTGGGGCAGTGATTTCTGCACTGCCTGGGTGGGGACCAGGCCTCCCCAGCCCTGCTCCATCTTCATAAGGCAGGCCCATGCCTGCTACTGCAGCTGATGGGGTGGAGGACAATTCACGTTTCGTTTCCTTTGCTGTGCAGACAGTTGCATCCTAATCCCCCCATGCTGCCACCCTGCTGTGCCTGCTCCCTGTGTGGTGGGAGGCAGAGGGCAGGATCTCCTCTATCCACTCTGTCCCAGGGGAAGGAGCTGCCTTTCCCAGCCCTGGGGCCAGGCGCAGGGGAGCTGCAGGTAGAGGCAGTCCCTGCATAGTTAGCATTCCCAGCCCTGCCTCCCGCTCTGCTGCTGCTGCTGCTACTTCGGGGTGCCGCACTCCCAGGCCGCTGGGGCTGGAGGCCTGCCCTGCTCCTGGACCATGGGTGGGCAGCGCTGTTTCCTTCCTGCACCTGCGGCCTGTCCACGTAGCACCTGCAGCCTGAGTGCTTGCAATCTCTGCTCTCCGAGTCATCGGGATGGCAGCTGAGCAGCCCACACGCCACACTTTGTGCCTCCTTCCCATGTGGGCAGCACAGCTCACAGCTGTCTTCCAGCTCCCCCCACGGATGGCACAGTGCCCTGTACCTGCCCTGGGAGAAGAGAAAGCAGTTGGTTATGGGGTACCAAACCCTAACACTGTCCTTATCTTGACTGAAGAAGGGTATGTAGGGCCTGGGATCAGGGAGGGAGTTGTAGGGCAGCAGGCGGGTCTCTCCTGCCTGCCTTAGGGCAGCTCACTGCCCCAGTGTGGGGGGCTCTTGAGCAGCAAGTGAATTTAATCTGGTTTTGTTTGTTCTTTCCTCCTCTGAAAGGGGGGCCAGGGCTGGGCGTGCGGGTGGGGGGAGATCGGGTTTGAGAGCGGGAGGAGCTGGGGGGGAAGTGTCAGATCTGAAAGGGAGGAGTAAAGGGAGGATTGGGAAAGGCAGAGCCAGGAGGGAGTGCGGCAGCAGGCTGAGAGCCACTTGGGAGGCACTGGCAGGAGAAGGGGAAGGCAGGTAAGGGAATTGCTGCCTGGGGCAGGCTAGGGGCCATATGGGGAGGGAGGGGTTGGGGGTGCTGCAGAGTACAGACTCCTTGGGGCCGCTTCAGCATCTCTGCCCCGGGCCTGCTGCTGTCTTAGCCCCATTGTGTTCCCCAAAACTGCTGTGCCAGCCACGTGCTTGTGTGCGGAGAGCACTGCTCCCTACTGGGAGGGTCCCCAGCACTGCAGGCAAGTGGGACAGAGGCCATGGGATGAGTGGGAGCAGCGGGGCTATCCCTTCTTTGTTGGCACGGAGGTCTTTTTTCCCATCGGTTGGTTTTTTTGGACAGCTCAGTGTCTGCTGGTCTCCTGCTCTCCTCATTCCCCCTTTTGTGCAGTGAGCTCAGCACAAAGTTTGAGGGACCCCTGGTGCACAGGTGGGATGGTGGAGGTGGGTCATGTTCTGGTGGCAGTGTGCGGAGCCCTAGGAAATGCTGAAGTTCCTCATCAGGGTCCTGCAGGGCGAAGGAGCCTATGCCCACTTGGTGCCTCAGCTCCCACCATGCCTGTGGCAGCGGTTCCTGCCTGGGGGCATTGGTACGCCATCCCCTCACCCAGGTTGTGTCCTCCCAGGCTGCCCGCCTCATCCAGAGGCCCTCTGGTATCTGCACATCAATGGGCTCTGGAGTGCATGGAGGGAGGGGAGTGGAAGAGGCCCTAATCTGGCCCATTCATCCGAGAGGCAGCGCGGGCTTTTGTGGCGCCTTCAAATGCTGGGCCAGGCTGGGGACGGGGGGGAGATTGGTGGTCTCTTGCTTTGCGGTACCTTTGTCTGCCCCATGCACCTGGCTCCTGAGGGAGGTCATAGGGCAGTGCTTTTTGAGGCCATCTTTCTGTTCCTGCATTTGACCTGGGAGGTGACACACAATTTCTCCACCTCTTTCTTCCTATGTAAAAAAAGATGGCTTGTGTTTGGAGGGCAGGAGCCCTGCAGGTGCCTCCAGCTGCGTGTGTGGGCACAGCGGTGCTTCCCCTGTTGGGCTGGGATGTGGGGACAAAGCAGATAGCGTGGTGCCATGGAGCAGCATCTCAGAGTGGTGAAAGCAGCATGCCCAAGTCCTCTCTGCTTCCCCCACCCCCTCCAGCCACCCCCAGGCCATGTGTTCTTTTAAGCTGATGCTCCAGACTGCCTGGAATCTTTTAAGTGTGACACTAAACTTTACCAGGGAGGGTAGCTGCATTCAGCCTGAGGAGAAAGCGGAGGCGTTTGACCTGCTGGGATCTTGGGAGGAGACAAGGGATGCCACTGGAGTTCCCCCATGCCCCTGCTGGCAGGAGGGCTGGGAAGGCATCCAGTGGGCTGGGCTGGGGCTCCTCACTTATCTCAGCATGGGCTGAGCTCCCTGGCAGCACATCTTGCCCAGCCCAGCCATGTCCTTCAGGCTTTGCCTCAAGTGCAGTGGGGGAGGGCTCTGCTCTCTCTCCCAAGGGCAGGCACTGGGAAGCAGTCCAGAACCAGAGATCTTACACCCGGAGGATGCCGAGAGCTGTTGGTGACCCTGTTCTCTGCTTCCCTGTCCTTCCAGGCTCTAGGATGCTGGGGCCAGCCAGACTAGGCCTGCCCACCTGATCCTTGGCATTCGCTTCCGCCAGCCCATCATGTTGTGCTCCTGGCGTGTCAAGCTGAAGCTGCTGCTCGCTACCGTCACCCTTGCCGTCCTCCTCTCCTGGCTCTACCTCTTCATGGGCAGCCTTGAATGTAAGTGAATCTTTCTCCCTCAGTTCCTGGGAAGGTCCCTAGCACAGAGCAGGCTAGAGAGGCCAAGGCCGTGGTAGGGCTGCTGTATGGCTGTGGGTGTACTGGTCTTTGGAGCCCTAGGGGTTTTCCTGGGGACTGCTGGAGCAGAGCTGTGACATTGGGCACGTGGGGTGTCCTAGGACCTCTCTGATCAGGTTGGGGCTCCGCCTCCATCCCCACGCAGTCTCTTCTGGCTTACCACTGCCCTCTTGCCATGCCCACATGTCTCACCCCACGTCCCCCCCATGTCCCCGCAGACGGCCGCTTTCTCCTGCTGCCGCCGTGCCTGGGCGAGCAGCCGAGTCGGGATGTGGAGCGGGAGGCCCTGGCCTCGCAGGTGCGCCGGGTGGAGGAGGAAAACCAGCAGCTCCGCATGCAGCTTGGCCAGGTGCAGGTGGAGGGCAGCGATGGCATCCCGCAGTGGGGGGCCTCTGCCGAGGATGGGCCCCCCCTTGGAGGTGACAGGAACAACCGCACGGCCTGCCCCAAGCAGCGGATGGTGCACAAGTGTGAGGTGGGTGGCACAGCCAACAGGGCTGCTCAGAGGGAGCTGGGGCTCTGACTGTTCTTTGCAGGAAGAAGCCAGTCTCAAAAAAGCAATGTTTGTCTCTGGGCAGCTCCTGCACGTTGCAATTGTGTGTGCTGGACACAATGCCAGCCGGGATGTGGTCACCCTGGTGAAATCCATCCTCTTCCACAGGTAACAGGGATGTGCTGTGCCAGAGGCCTGATGGTTTGGGGTTCCCTGGTATGCTATAGGGAAGGTAGTGCTGGAGGAGAGAGGCTCTAAGTCCTCTCTCTGCCTCCTGTGTCATTTCTGAGACTTAAAAGGGACAGAGGGTAGTTGTATTCCACCCCCAAAGGTGTGATTTTTCTCCGTGTGCTTGATGTCTGTCCCCTGCCGCGGTGGGAGAGATGGGGACCATGTCTGCTTCCTCCTGCTGTGGTGGTGAGTGCTGCTGCATTGCCCTTGGCAGGAAAAACCCCCTCCACTTTCACTTCATCACGGATTCGGTGGCCCACCAGATCCTCCAGACGCTCTTCCAGTCCTGGATGGTGCCTTCCATCCACGTCAGTTTCTACAACGCCGATGATTTGAAGGCAGGCACTCTCTCCACTCTGCATTCTCCTCGCTTTCTATCTCAGCTGGGTGCTTGGAGGGTCCCAGGGGAGTGGCAGCGAGAGTGGGAGGGAGATTGTTAATGCTTTTTCCTGGTTCCACAACCCTGTTGTGCCCCTCTGCTGGCCTCCTCTGTATGAGAACATGGCTCTCCTGCCCAGGCAGGAAGAGCCCACCTATGCCCAGCCCTGAGGCCATGTCACCTTGCAGCCAGAGGTGTCGTGGATCCCCAACAAGCACTACTCTGGCATCTACGGGCTGATGAAGCTGACGCTCACCAAGGCACTGCCCTCCAACCTCTCCAAGGTCATCGTCTTGGATACTGACATCACCTTCGCCACTGACATTGCTGAGCTCTGGGCTGTCTTCGGGAAGTTCTCTGGTGAGGATGGGGAGCCTTTGGGACCCACTGGAGCTCTGACAGGGCCTGCTGCCACATCAGCATGGTGGTCCCCATCAGCTTCAGAACTAATGTAGAAGGTTTGCTTGCACCTTCCAAACTTGTAGAGGTGTGGGCCACATGTATGTCCCTTTCTTTCCTCAGAAAAGCAGGTGATTGGGCTGGTGGAGAACCAAAGTGACTGGTATTTGGGCAACCTCTGGAAGAACCACAAACCATGGCCAGCACTGGGACGTGGCTTCAACACAGGTGAGTGAGAGCTGCTGAGATGGCTTCTGCACTCTGACAGAACACCCAGCTGGGGCAGTGTGTGCGTGGGGAGGCTGGGGAAGGCTGACGTGGGCATGTGGAACTGCTACAGCATCCTGGAGATGTGTGCACAGAAGTGGCACATCCCAGAGGCTGGAGGCACGCGGGCTGCTGTGCTCCACCGGTGGACCTAGCCTCCTCTTTCCTGGCACCCAGGGGTGATCCTGCTCTTGCTGGACCGTCTGCGTCGCCTGGGCTGGGAGCAGATGTGGCGGCTGACGGCAGAGCGGGAGCTCATGAGCATGCTTTCCACCTCGCTGGCCGATCAGGTAAGGCCTCCAGGGTGGCCAGCCCTGCTGTGTTCCCATAGCAGTGCTGTCATATGGGGGCCATTCTGTCCCCTTTATCCTCCTCTGCACTCGCCATTCTCTCTCCCAGGACATCTTTAATGCAGTGATCAAGCAGAACCCAGCCCTGGTGTATCGGCTCCCATGCTTCTGGAATGTGCAGCTCTCCGATCATACCCGCTCAGAGCTGTGCTACACCGAGGTCTCAGATCTCAAGGTGGGTAGACTTTTGTGGCATTTGAAGCAGAATCACAGGTTCTCCTATGAGGAGCCCTGTGCTTTTCCTACTAGATGCTTCTGCCACGTAGGAGACAGGGTGCAGGATCCAGAGGTCTCGGGCAGTGAGCAGTGGTGTTTGAGGGCTTTGGGGAGCACTGGGTGCTGCTGACTTCCCCTCCGCAGCACGATGTACCATTGCTCCCAGGTAATCCACTGGAACTCGCCCAAGAAGCTGCGGGTGAAGAACAAGCATGTGGAGTTCTTCCGCAACCTCTACCTGACCTTCCTGGAGTACGATGGGAACCTGCTGCGCAGGGAGCTCTTTGGCTGTGCCAGTCTCCCCAGCCCGCCCAGCGACCAGGTGAGGCTGACCACAGCTCTGTCCTGGCCCAGGGCACGGGACAGGCAGAGATGCTGGCAGTTCCCTGTGCTCCCCCCCCCGAGTCTCCCGCCATGCCTCACCTTTGTGGTGTTGCAGCTGCAGCAGGCACTCGAGGAGCTGGATGAGGATGATCCCTGCTATGACTTCCGCCGGCAGCACCTCACGCAGCACCGCGTCCACCTGTTCTTCCTGCAGTACGAGTTCCTGGCCCTTCCCAACCCCACCGATGTCACCCTCGTGGCCCAGCTCTCCATGGACAGGTACTTACCGGTGGAGTTGATGAGTGGTGGGGTTCCCCCTCCACTGCCTTTGGGGTGACTTTACAACTCAGGAGCTACGTGGGATCTGTAACATGGGCTGCTCACTCTCACACCAGAGCACTGCAGCAAGGAGCAGCAAGCAGCCTGTTTTGGGAGCAGTAATTCCCTCCGCTCTCTCCTGAACTGGACTTGGATGGCTTGCAGCTTTCTGACAGCCCTTAGTTCTGGGTCTGACCAGGTGATTCCCACAAGGCAGGGCTCCCACTCACACAGCGCTCTCTGCTCTGCAGGCTACAGATGCTGGAGGCCATCTGCAAACACTGGGCCGGCCCCATCAGCCTGGCGCTGTACATGTCAGACGCGGAGGCCCAGCAGTTCCTGCGCTACGCCCAGGCCTCGGAGGTGCTGAGTGCCCGCCGCAATGTCGCCTACCACATTGTCTACAAGGAGGGGCAGTTCTACCCTATCAACCTCCTGCGCAACGTGGCCTTGGCCAACACACAGACGCCGTATGTCTTTCTGACTGACATTGACTTCCTGCCGATGTATGGCCTCTACGATTACCTCAGGTAAGGAGTTTGCAGGATATGCCCCAGACAGCCATTTCTTATGTGTAGAAATGGGTTGTTTTCTGCTCAGTCTTGTGATTCTGTCCTTCCTGTTGTCAGACGGCAGTGGATCAGGAAGGAGAAGTGGCTCCTGTATGGCAGCACTGCGTGCTCCCTAAACGCATTAATCCCTTTATGGAGCTGTGGGTGGGCTGGTGGGGCTGATGAAGGGGAATTAGGAATGGGGTTGTAGCCACAGCTGATGGCTACAGAGGCCTCACACCCTTTCTACCTCTGTAGGAACTCCATCCAGCAGCTGGAGTTGCCTCACAGGAAGGCAGCTCTTATTGTGCCGGCATTTGAGACCCTGCACTACCGCCTGACCTTCCCCAAATCCAAAGCAGAACTGCTCTCCATGCTGGACATGGGCTCCCTCTACACCTTCAGGTAAGCCCTGGAGCTCCCTGCCATCCCAAAGGCTGCCACGCGCAGCAGAAGCCAGTCCGATACCCTTGTGCCTTGGGGGCCATAGTGCGGCCGCTTTTCCTGGTGTCTCACTTCCATCTCTCCTCACAGGTACCACGTGTGGCCAAAAGGCCATGCCCCAACTGACTATGCCAAGTGGCGAACAGCCACCGTACCGTACCGTGTGGCCTGGCAGCCAGACTTTGAGCCTTACGTTGTAGTGAGGCGAGACTGCCCAAAGTACGACCAGCGGTTCGTGGGCTTCGGCTGGAACAAGGTGTCCCACATCATGGAGCTGGATGCGCAGGTGGGTGCCGGGGCCACGGCCGGGCAGTGAGGTGTTGGTACCGTGCTGATGGTGACAGTTGCCGCTCTGTCCTCAGGAGTACGAGCTGCTGGTACTGCCCAATGCCTTCATGATCCACATGCCCCACGCTCCCAGCTTCGACATCTCCAAGTTTCGCCTGAATGCTGGGTACCGGGGCTGCCTACAAACGCTGCGGGAGGAATTCCACCAGGACCTGTCGCGGAGATACGGGGCTGCTGCACTCAAATACCTCACCGCCGAGAGGAACCTATGACACCTGAGGACAGTGGGTGCAGGGTGCTGGTAGCAGGCGGAGAAGGGAGGGTGCAGGGCCTCCTGCCCCAGCTCGCCTCGTAGCCTTGCCCAAGGGATCTGATTTGCAATGGGATGTCTGTAGATAAGAGGGAGGATGCCAGCTGTGAGATCAGGCAGCGCCTGTGGGTTGAGTTGGTGCAGTGTGGCCCAGGATTTGTTCAGATCATTCCTGTGTTAACAGGGGAGCTTCCACTGTGCCGGGGGACTGGTCTTCCCATCCCTAGTTCTAGCAGATATCAATTCACAGCTTTTGTTAGCTCACCTCAGCCCGGGGCCGGGCCTCGAGAGGCCCTGGAGCTGCACTTTTCCCCTCTCTGCTCCTCTCTGCAGTCCCAGTTTGCAATCCTCTGCACATCCCTGGAGCCTTGGCAAGTGGGAAATGGCTATGGGGACCATCCTCTTGCGTCATTTGTGGAGCAAGGCCTCAGAAGAGGTGTCCTGATGATCTAGGAGCTGAGGCCAGAGATCACTAGGAGCTGCGGAGTCACTGGACCAAGGCTGGCTCCTCATCCCCGTGGATGCAGAGTCTCTCCTGGGATGGCCCAGCTATAAGTGAAAGCAGTCTGGTGCTTGGTACAATCCTTCTGCCATTGTGGTGGATGGCATAGCTTCACAGGGGGTCTGTGCTCCTGTGAAAGAATTCATGGCAGGGACTCCCAGTGCCTCCCCTACTCCTGGCAGTGCCAGGGCTGCCACCAACAATCAGGGATGGGACTGACCCCAGGGAGGCCATAGCTGAGCACCGTGGTCTGCAGTGGGAGCAGCGTGGCTGGCTCTGCTCTGCAGCTGTCACACACTGGAGCACAGAGGATGTGTTGCTTTCCTCATGCTATTTAAATTATTTATACTTTTCTCATAAAAATTCAGTGGTTAGGGTGTCATGGGTTTTTTGTTCTGTTTTTGTTTTGTTTTGTTTTTAAGCCTTTCTTGCACCTGGATGATTTTGCTGCTGGCACTGGAGCAGCTCCAGGCCCGGGGCTGCTGCAACCTATGCTGTTCTCTTAGCATTATTCTGGTCTGCAAGAGCTAGAGCTGTGCAGGTGTGAAGATTTCCGTCCGTGGTGGGAATGGCCAGGAGGAGCCATACAAATCGCATTGTCTGGGAAGGGCACAAGCGCCTCTTGCTTATTCTCTCTTTTTAATTTAATTTTTAAATTAAAGCTTTTTTATTCTTTTTCGTATCCTTGTTAGAACGATGTGGTTATTAATGCTTTCTGCAGTGAACCTGCACAAGCACGAGGGAGCAGGCTGGTAGAACTAATCTTGGTGTCAGTGCTCAGTGGGTGAGCCCTGACGTGGGCTGCTGGTGGACACTGCAGCCTGCATGGCGGTGCAGCCAAATTGTGGGCTGGTCTGTGGCTTCATAGCATGGCTGTGTGCCCCCAGCAGCACGTGGCTGAGTCCTGGATGGGCACTGGGACCTAAACAAAGGGCTCTGGGTTCACGGTGCTGGTGGGAGCACAGCCTGGGATAAGGACTTGGCTCCTGGGCCTGGAACAGGAAGCCCAGCCTCTGCAGGGGTAGATGGGGTGGCAGCAGGCTGGGAGCAAGTTGTTGGCTTTGGGAACAAGCTGGTTCGTTATTCGTTCGAACAAGCTTGCTCATTATTAGTGCAGCAAAAGGCATGACTGCATCTGGGTGTCCCCTAGCAGACAGCATTTGTTTAGTAATGCCATAGCTTGCTGTTATCACCAGCCTGAGCAGCAACACAGATCAGATCCAGACAGCACCTTACCTGTCCTGCTCAGCCTGCTCTCTGCTGGGAGCCATGGGAAAGAGCAGCTGTGGCTTTTAGTGCTAGCCCTGTGGTTGGCTCTGCTGTGGGCCCTGCAGGGGTGGCACAGCCAGCCCTTAGCACAGGAAGTTTGGGTTCCTAGAATCAATGGGGGCTTCGATCTCCATGTACTGGAGCGCAGCAGCCGGAGGAACCCTACGTGGAGGGGCCAGGGTGGTTCTTCCCCAGCACAGCCCCTGTGTGAGGAAGTGCAGGGCAGGGCTGGGATGGGCCTTGAGCCCCTCCTTGAGACACAGCTGAGGAGACGAGAGAGTTTGTTGTGCTTTATTTAGTAAAGTGTTAAAATAAATAAATACAAATCGATCAGGTGCTCTGTACCCCCATCCCCCCCACCCCTTCCCAGTTTAATTTGCTAAAATCTAAACACATTTGTACCAAAACTGAAACCAGCAGGGACCTGAAGGCAACAAAGAGCCTGCAGGTCACTATCAGCGTCAGGATTTAAAAAAAAAAAAAAAGATATATATAAAAATCACCATCCAGCTCCTGTGTGGGTGCTCTCATGTGTGGTGCTGTGAGAACATCGGGGCACTGCTCAGGGTGCTGCACGGGAGGTCTGCAGTGACAGGAACCTGCCAGGGGGCTGCTCCCAGCCCTGGTGAGTGGTGGAAGCAGTGGCTGAAGGGCCACAGAGCAGAGCTGGGGTGGCCCAGCAGGGTTCCTCACCTGTGGCAGTGCCCTGAAGCCGTGGCTGAGCTGGCAGCTCGTGGTCCCGGGGCTGAGCCTGGGGCCGGTGTGGAGCAGAGTCCTCGGAGGAAGCCGTGGCTGCGTCACAGCAGTGACTTGGGCAGCGTGCCTGATGGAAGGAGGGCTGATGGGTGAGGCACTGCCCCCGGCTCTAGAGGCAGCCACCGCTTTGATACCAGCGGTAATTAAAGGAAAGAACTACGTGAGACTAAGATTAGAAGTTGCACATCATCCTAGAACAAGCAGAAACACGCAGCCTGCTGCTGATACCGCCCCTATTCAGCACTGCCTGCTTGCAGCACCTGCAGCCCAAGAGAAGTGGTGCTTGATGTGGCCATCAGCTGTTGCACAGCAGGGAAAACAAGGCATGGAGGGGGCCTTCCATTCTTGTAAGTAAATGCTCCCCTTCCTCCCTCTTGGCACACTCTGACTCATGGTGGCACAGCTTCTTCCTCCGGACACTGAGGGCCCAAACCTGAGGCTGTGTGCTGGGGTGAGACCTGCCAATGCGGTGTTTTGTTACCCAGTGGCACCCAGAAGGGCTCTCCCAAAGTTTGGGCAACACCGTTTCTATCTCAGTGACAGAAGGGAGAAGGCAGGCAACACAAGGGTTGGGTTCTTGTGCATCCTGGTGTAGGTTCAGGAATAAGATAAAAGCTGCAAACTGCCACAGCCCAATAGTTCATGCTGCTCCCTGCTGCTGGCTTTCCCTGCCATCTCTCTCAGGAGCCTAGGAGCTCCTGTCACTGAGCAAAGAGGTCCTTTAGTCCTTCTTCCTCCTTATGTGTGGGTTGGACTGAGTTTCTAGGGTGTTTGACACTTGCTTGGGTATGATGGTGAAGAACAGCACTAGAGCCTGCTGCCCTCCTGCCACCTGGCTGCAAGCAGCTCTCCGGGCTCAGTCCTTGCAGTGACCTTACAGCTGGTACACCTCACCACGCTGCTGGACCGCCCCTCCACAGGGGTATATAGGAAACTGGGTGCAGAAAGGCAGCAGAAGCAGAGCTGAGGTGGTGTGGTGCTTGTTTCCTTCTCCATCTGCAGCCTAAAAACTCTTCTCCTGCTGCACTTTGTCTTTTTAGAGTACAGATCAACCCACATCACAAACCAAGGTAGGACAAAGAGCTCTTTTGTTCCAGTCCTTCCGCTCAACTCACAAACCTTGTAGCTGCAGCTGTCACTCCTGGATCTTTCCTGCCTTCACCTTCCCTGTTTCTCACGTGTTCCCATGTCTTCTCCCTGCTCTCCCTTACCCCAAATACCCTTCCTTTCAGCTCTTCCTGCCTCCTCTCGTACCTCCCTCTGTCTCCAGACCCATTCTCTGATCCCTGCGGCACCCACCACTGGCACAGGGTGAGGAGAGGCCCCCGAGACCCCGTCCTTGTGTGGTGATCTCCAGGATAGCCATTGCCCCAGCACAGAGGCCCTTGGCTGGGCTGTTCTCTGCGTGCTCCTCACGTAGCTGTGTCACACTGGCAGGATGCTGGCAGACCCTCACACAGGTAAGGTCTCGGTCTTCTGAAACAAGGCCACCTCTTAAATCAACAGCCAGCAGATGTTGGGTTTTCATGGCTTTGTAATTACCAAGCTTACCAGCGCATGGTATAAATAATTCTCTTTATTGGCAAGTTTCAACTATGTGCTCAGCCTATACAAGACACAACGATGCAGAAAGTTCTTGTCCCAGATGAAAGATAAACATTGGGAAAATGGGAGCTAAAGGTAAAAGATAATGAGCGTCATATTTTCAAGTATTACATTCCATTCTGTAGGTGTTACAAACAAGACTGAGGCTCAAAGAAGGATCTGAGTAAGACGGCAATAACCTGGAGACGGCTGCAGCTCTTGTGTTTTCCTGATCCCCCTGATTTTTAGGGCATTCCCTGGCCCAGGTCTGATCAATGAAAGCAAATGTTTGACAATGCGCTGCTGTAAGGCTCGCTCGCACGCATTCAGAGGCCGGCACCTAGCTGGCTGCTTGCAAGGCTTCTTTGGAGACATTTTGCCTTCTGGATAATGGAAACTACAGAATCCACGCGGTGCTCAGGAATGGCCTTTGCTGAGGTAGTTTGTTGGCCAGGCAAGCCTCAGTGCCAAATGAATCAGCTGCACGACACAGTGCTGCTGTCTTTCTCCAGGTTCCTGACTCTTCAGCAGAGTTTCTACAAACGTGTCTATCAGAAAACTCTCTGCAGTAACCCAGCAAGGCTGACCTTGCCCCAGATCTTCAGAATCCCAAAGGAGGACAAAATGGAGGTGAAGAAGGGTCAGAACAGTTCTGAAAAGACACAACGAAGTCTGCCCGAAGGGGCATGGTCCACCAGGAAGTGTAATATCAGTATTTGAGTTGTTATCTGAGCAGCTGGCGGAGGGAAGCCCCCAGTGAAAGAGTGAATCTGGTTTGACATCTGAATATGATCTTCTAAAAACACATTTCATTAAAAAAACATATATTCGTCACCAGTGCTTCAGAAGCAAAAGAGGGCAGGGGCCCTACTCAGCTGGGAAACAAAAGGAAAGAGAAATGTGCACTGCAAAGTCACAGGTATTTTCCACTGCATCCACAGGAGAAGGAGATGTCAGAGTTCACTCCCTGTATTGTGGGCTGCCACAGCACGGTGCGACCAAGAGGGAGACTTCAATGTTGACCATATTGCTTTTTGGGGCTGCCTCTGCCTCCGTCCATGGAAGATGATGATTTTGAAGCCAAGGAGGCCAGAATTAGGGTCTATACACCTAGACAGCTGGAATACAGATTTGCTCTCTCAAGCCTGGTCTGTTGGGAGGGATAAAATACCAGGCCATTTTTTCTGCCATCAAAACAACCAACACTGTGCCTGTAAAATTCTTACCTCTTTAATTTCTCAGCAGGTGTCTTTTAGCTCATGTCCCCACTGACAGAAATTCACTTGTTTAAAGGACAAAATCTTTGTTCTGTTCATGCAAACTGTTGGTTCCTCCTACTGCCATGGTGACTCTTGGCTAATGAAGAACCATCTGCACCACTCATCCCTGGAACGATTGCCTTCACCGCATTTTGCACAGCGCTAAAAGTTCCGCTGGCACTAAACGAAGATAAAGAGGATCTAATGGTAGCACTAATTCTTCTGGCCAGATCACATGCTCGTTTTCAGGCTTTGACCACACCATACTTTTCCAGCTGCTTAAAGAACAGATTGCGAGGAGAAGGGGAAAACTGTTTCTGCAATTCTTATTCTATTTCTGAGCAGTTAAAGCAGCAGGAGGACTTCTGAAAGCCCTTAGCACTAGGCTGAGTGCCAGGAACATCTCTGAGAGGAGCTTCCTCTGTGGTCTCATCTTCTTCTCCTTTACGAGTGAGACTTAAAAGCCACTTACTTCCCACTAATGACAAGCGATGACATAAGAATTAGTTGTTACCTTTATGGTGGTTTGGAAATACAAAATGCCAGTCATTAGGACAGCTTCTTGAAGAGAAGTTCTAATACCAACTCAGCCTGTCTCAAATGTTGCATGAGAGAAAAACAAAACAGAACAAAACCACAACACCCAACAAATCCAAAAGAAAAGCTTGAACTTAAACTTGTCAAAAAGTTTGAATTTTGCCCTTTGTTGGAAACTCTGAGAGCAGGTAGAAAACAGAACAACATTTCCCTCTGTATTTAGCAAACAGCATTTCCCCTTCAACCTCATTGCTGCTAATTGGGCAAAAGTTTACTCGTGCCTGTGTACCAACATCGTTGCCAGTGTCAGCATAGCCCTGGGAATGATCTTTGCCTGTTGGCTGATAGTGCTGCAGAGCCAGGAAGGAAAGTGCTCAAACAGGATCAGGGAGCAAAAACTACCCAGCAGCACTGAACAGTTGAGGTCATTTCTCTGCCAAGCAATGATTAACTAAAGGTGTCCTTTGACAGTCTGGAACACAAGGCTGGAAGAAAAGGAGACAAAAGTCTGTACTTAGCTACTCAGTTTCTAAAGACAAGCAGATGCCTTGAAAAAGCAGTAACAGCTGTTTTAACATCTCCTGGCTGGGTAACTATGCTCAGATTTAAATGCAGCTACCAGTGAATTTCATTCCCATCCCTTCCTGAAACAGCAAAGCAAACAGAAGGACTCTCAAGTCTTCCAGCAGCTTACTACATCCAAGAAGTGCAGTGCTCCCAGCAGAGCTCAGAAAATAAAACCAGAAAGAAAAACATGAGAACATGAAGATACTGTCTCTTACTGGGAATGTACTTCACAGCTCAGAAGAAGGGGAGTTACCCAAGCAACCAACTAGAGAAGAACCTGGCCAGGATGTTTGATGGTAATGACTTCAACTGGTAATTGGGTTGATGCAAGTAGAACACGTTTAGTTCGATCGGTTTGATCCTACAGCTCTGCTAGCAAATATCCAAACCGTGAGGTGATCACAGGTTTAGCTGGGATGTGCACCTAACAGTCATTTTCCCAAGCTACGGATAAACATGAGAACTCAGGATATCAGCTCTGAGCTCAGTTCTGAAAATAGCACACAGTCCTGGGAGAAGTCCTTAAAGGTCAGGAGGGTGAGCAAAGGAAGGGGAAGAGAGCAGCGCCAAGAATCCTGCAGAAGCATGCTTGGCTGTGGCAGCAAGGAGACTCTTTCAGGAATGTAGCATTTGGAGCATTTGCTACTTCTTTCTCAGAAACGCCGCCCTGAAATGCAAGGCTTTCTCTGTTCCAGAAGGATCAGTGGCTGGGCAGGACTGCCTAATGCACGCTCTGGAGGGCACCACTGCAGGACCTGGCCTCGTACTGCCTGCGGAGAAGCTCAGCTCTGCTCCCACTGGGAGCAACGGGAGTTTTGCCAGCACTTCCAGTGGAATCAGAGTTTGCCCAAATACTTCCATGCAGCAGTGAAAGCGGGCAGCTCTGTGACATAGCCCTAAGTGACACGAGTCAGTACTCTACGCTGGGACAGACCCCACCACAACAGGAGCACGAGGAAAGCTTTGGTACCTATAGTGAAAAGGCTGTGTGCAAGAGATGAACTTCTTAAAGAAAGGATATAACGAAAGTGACTTCAGCCCAACAAACGCTCCTTCATTCTCAAGCTCTAATCAGTCCATATCACAAAAGCATTGAAGCCTTAAGCAAGTACACTGCCAGTGCTTTTCTCTGGGTTACGCACACATCAAGGAAGGGGGAAGATACGGTAACAGCAGAGACAAGCTAGGCAGATCCTCCAGGTGGGGTGAGATCCAGCGCTGTGGATTTGATTCTCTTTAGGGTTTAGCCAGTAGCATGTATGGTATAATCTAGGGAAACTGTCCCGTTGGATCTTAAAACACAAACACAGCAGAATGTCATCATAAATAAGCAAAGTCTGTGTTAAAAAATTCTAAGTACACAGCATTTTCTCCAGTTCTGACACCTTTTTAATAGAAATCACTTGTTTAGGAAACAAATAGCACTTTTGTAATTTTTTTTTTTTTTTTTACAATGTTTCTTACCTTGATCTTATTTTAAGTAACACTAGGAAGACCTCAATATCTTTTATTTTCCTTTTTAATTTAAAAAAGTTGTTTTTTTACCCCCAGATACAAAGATTTTGCCCTTGCATAAAAAAACAGTGCCCAAAACGATGACACAAGGACTCACAAAGACTCACTGTATCTCACTGACACTATTACTTCTAATCTATACCATGCAAGGTCCCATCTACCTCTTTAATTAGACTGTCAGCCTGAAAAACAGCTTTTCTATTCCTTATTTAGTTCTTGTTACCAAAAGAAGAGAAAAGAAGTGAAAGAAAAGGACATTTCTCTGTTCAGTTCACACATCTGGGTCATGTGCTACTTTGTTCAGGACAGTTTTGTTGTTTATAAATATAGAAAAGGGTTGGAATCTCATTTTCAAGTAATCGATGCACATTTTCTCTTGGGACACCTCCATCCAACACTCCAAGCTGACCCTGGATTCTGGCCCTCTATTCTCCCATTCCCAACATAGGCTTTCTGGATGAGTGTGAAGATTTGAATCAGTTCTGCAAAGCATGTATTTCTCTGATGTGAAGAAGTACAGTTTAACCCAAAGCTGTTGGGACAGTAGATCTTCAGCCTGTACATGTGCTGGTTACTCAGTGAAAAGTCCATCTCCTTTCCTTTTGTACATCTCCTGTCTAAACAATAGTAAATACTGCTTATTTGATAGACTTGTCCCTTCTGGGCACTGGGATTTGATAATTTATATTTCTGGTTTTTTTTTTGGTTTAATAGTACTGAGAGTTTAGAAACAGGAAAAGCCCACAGGCTCTTTGGACTTGTTTTTGTTTTCCCCTAGCTAAACAAACTGTTCTGCAAATAAGGATTTGAAACCTGCTCTCCTCCCTTATCCCTGCTCCTCACCCCAAACAAAAATAAAACAAACCTATAGTGGCTGTGGAGGCTGCTGCAGGCACACACTGGTGTAAAATATAGAGAGAGTAAATATATTATTTCACTTGGCATGGTGCTGGCAAAGAACCCCCAGCTGGCACTATTCATGTATCATGATCCAAACTTTGCATGTACACACAGAATAAGAAGGATCAATTGGCAAACTCCGGTGCCGCCTGGCACAAGCATCTTCACGCTCTCTCTGGAACCAAAGAACTAAAGAATTCTGCACTTTCCAGAAGAAATCCGGTTTTGCTTTTCTAGAGTTTTGTTATTTCGCTTCTCCTCCTCGCCGCCACCTCCCCTGGCTCCTTCTGAGCTTCACTGTGTTATTTAGTCTCATCGCCCTTGTTACAGTTCACCATGCAGCTCTGGGAAGGGGAGGGGGCTAAGGTGGAGGTGGCAGCATTAGTATTGTTAGTGGAGTCCATGCCGTTGGAGATGGCTACTGAATTGACCTCAGAGTTTATGGGTTTTGAAAGGTCGATGCCTTGGATGAGGCGGATCAGCTGTTTTACCTTCTCCAAGGAGCTGTGCATCTCCTTCTGTTTTGCAAGGATGGTATTCTTCATTTCCATGCATTTCTGCAGCAAAACAGAAAAGCAATGCTAAGTTCAAGCTTTAGCCTTGTAGGAATGGAAGCAGGCAAGAGAAGGAACTCAGCGCTTGCGGATCTAAATGTAAGTACTCAGAAAAGACTGCAGCTGCAATGTTACCTGTAATTTCAGACTAGAAGAAAAGAAGGCTCAGAGCTGTGTTCACAGCATTCATATTTGCAAGCTAAGGAACTAAACTGTCTGTACATAGCTGCCCCCCAATAAGGTCCTTTAATCCCAAGGCGCCTGGCAAGCCAACACAGACAGTTCCATCCTCTTGGGTTCCTTTTGAAGGGAAACTTCCAAGTATGTGTTCTTATTTTTCTGTTAGCACTGCATTGCTGGAATTTCTTTAGCTCGGATATGCAAACTCAGGCATCCTATCACAGCTGACTGTGTGCATGTCATTAATGGGATACAGTCCTTGCTTTTACATACACTTTTAACAGGAACATTTCCTCTTCTTACTAAATAAAGGGCACTTGAAATGAAAAACAAGCCCTTTTTCACTTGAAAATCTTATTTTGTGGCCACCTCATTCTCTTGGAAGCAGTAGTAACCTAGGTAGCTCATAAGATAAGAGCCAGAGTATGATAGCTTAAATGAATGCCCACAAGTGATGTTTCAAGAGTGACAAACTGCTTATATCTATATTTGAAACCCTCAGAAAGAAAGAGACGGTAGCTATTTTGCACCCATAACTTTCAGCATCTTACACAGAGATGGCAACCTTCTTATTTTTTTCAAGTCTTTTATTCACACTGATCTCCAGACACTCTTATTTTCAGCTTTACTGTTTTCACATGCAGCTCTTGGCATCACAAGAACATTACAAAATTTACATCTAATGTGTCTTTGTTTGATGATTCGAATTAAAGTGTAAACAATGGCTTGATCATGGAAAAGACACCATTCTCCTTACCTACTATCAATCCTTGCAAAGGCTTGCTTCTGCCTCTGTGTAATATGACTGAGAAGCAGCACCAGAGCTGCTCAGTTTATGTCCAGCTACTGCTAACCAGAAGATGACAGACTCCAGACCTGCCAGCCAGCACCTCTTACCACTTGGCTCACAATTGTTTTAATTGTATCATTAGCATTTAGAGGTCTTTAAACATGGGATGTTTACTTTTCGTCTAAGAGGTAAAGACACACAGACAGTGCATCTACATTGGAAAAAAAACCCAAGTCTGTACTTACATACCCAGCTTTACACAGGCTGCCACATAGATTTTAATATTTTTCATGTTGTGATACTGACTTAGGCCATGCTAAGTGGGGGGGCTCAAACTTTGCACTGGCAACTCAAGAGCCAATTTGCATATTAACAGCAAATTAATACGTATGGCACAGTTACTGTCATAAATTTAGGAGAACACTACTGTTTCTGGTCAGAAGTATGACACTGTTCAATTAGTAATATGCAGAGGCTTGCTGACTCTCCAGCCAGCATGTCAAGAACCCAAGAGACAGTTGTGAGCAAATGGTCACTTTTGTATTAGGAATATCTGAAGAGAGCACCAAGTAACTCTTACTACACACAGAGGCCCAATCATTCAAACTCAAGTGAGGCACTAGAGAATTAGAATTCATCTGCTGCCCACAGACAATATTGCTGTGGGTCGTGTTTGTCACCTGCTGATATTACAGGTCACTGCATTCTACAGTATATGGTCAGTAGGGATCATGTACGAGTGTCTCAGATTGCATGTCGCTTGTATTTCATTCCTGATCCCCACAGTCCTAAAAGAGCCCATTCAATCCTCAGTAAAACCAGTGGAAGATAAGTCTAGTACATGGGCTCTGCAGTTTTCTATCTGCATTCTGACACCAGAACACCGGTGCAGATTTATCTGGGAGGGTGATACTCACTGTTATAGAATTGCTGAGCTGTTTGACCTTCTGCTCTAGTTGTTCTCTTTCCTGTTTTAAATCTGAACTCCATTTAAGTAGTTTCTGTTTTTCTTCTTCTTTTGCTGCAAAACAGAATATTAATCACCTCAAGAAATAATATTTAAAGTCTTCCTGTTACCACTGTGGATATAAGCTCTAAACTGTTTCATTTAGAGTATTACTGAAGTAAATTCAATCACGTTTGCAATAAATCACAACCAAAATTTCACCTGCACATGCAAGTATCACAAAAAGCTTAAGAGTTTGGACTGCTATTATCACTTCGCTGATTAAGTTCTTCCTCTTTAATTTCCTTTTGAAAAGGAAGTATCATGCTGTCCCATTCCCTCAATAACATTTTCCAGTTTTAAAACTGAAAAAAACCCATTGCTCCCCATTTTCCTACCTGCTTTATACGCAATATATGAATGAACAATTGCTAAAGTTCCTGGCCATGGGATTGCTTCTTCTTTCTTTAACATCTGAAAGAAAAGTGTGTAGAGATTTAGCTGGTAAACAATCTATCCCTGAGAAAAGAAAAAGAAGAAAGGGAAAAAACAATGGATTTTCTCTGTGGCTATCATTAATCTGAGCTCTGTTAACATGAAGCTTTGCAGACCTGCGCTGAGATTTAACAGAGGGAATTATTCACAACTTATTGTAGCTCCCACAAAGGAGGCCTGTTTCTTACAAATGTCAGCATATTCTCAAATTCCCTCCATAGCCACAAATAAACTAATGAAAAAGAACAACTTAAAAGAGGAATGAAAAGATAATGCATCTGAACTGAAACTTGCCAGGAGACATAAACATTATTGCATGGTTTGGACAAATTGCTGATCTCAGTTGTTCTGAGAGAAAACTTTTCATGTCACAGAGCAGCTTCCATACCACACATTTAAACAACACTCTTCTGGGCTAATAACACATCAAACTGTCCTATATGCCCTTCGTATCAGAACTGTCTTAATAGCATCATCAAGCCCTCTTTATATAAGGATAAGAACCATTTATGTATTTAAGTGCATTCCTCACATATTCCTTCCTAAGGAGCTTTAATTTGAGAAGAAAAATGTACTGTGTCTTTTTAATAAGTGAAGCAGAGGGGTGTCTCAGGAGATAGAGGACTTGGTCACTTTTCAGTAAAATAACTCAGATATTTCCCAGAATTCTGTGGGAATGTATTACAGAAATTCAGAGAGGAAGGATATGCAATAGTTCACAAGAGCAGGAATAGAAAAGTGGTAATACTTCCTCCTCATTTGCAATGACTGACCAAGTCACTTGGATTTTGCATTCCTGTTCCTCTGAGCAGCACGTAACATACCAGGTTGTATTCTTACCTTACCATCTGGCCATGTGAGTGACTAAGCAATATGCTAAACCAGATAGAACACTAACAGCTTCAGGCTGCTGATTAACAGCAATCCTTTGCAACTTCTGAAGTGCCACATAAGGTTACGAATACCCTGGTTTACTTCTTTGTCTTGTCATTTCAATGCAAGTATAAACAAAATATTAAAATATCATCAGTTATGTACTTTGAATAAAGAAGGACCAAAGTATTTGCCCATCCTCATTATGCTGATGCTTGACAGTATTGCTAGAGAGATCACTGAAGACAAAGTCTCTGATGCCTGATTTATATAAGAAAAGAGAGGTTTGTATTTTCTCAATCTATTGAGGCAAACTCGTACAAACACTTGATATATTTATCCAAAAGAACATACCAGTGATTTAAAGAAACAAGTTCAGATGAACAGGAGCATTTCTATGGGTAATAGAGAATCTTTCCCAAAAGTCTGTGTGCTTTGGCCCAACAAAAGACTGAAAACACATAGGTAACAAATAAGGACCCCAAGTCCAGAAGGAGGACATAGGTAATGGATCCAAGTTGAAGGAGGGAAGATTTAGGTTGGATGTTAGGGGGAAGTTCTTCACAAGGAGAGTGGTTAGGCCCTGGAACGGGCTGCCCAGGGAGGTTGTGGATGCCCCGTCCTTGGACGTGTTCAAGGCCAGGTTGGACGGGGTCCTGGGCAACCTGATCTGAATGTGTACGTTTGGTGGCCCTGCTAGGCAGGGGGGTTGGAACTACATGATCCTTGAGGTCCCTTCCAACCCGGGTGATTCTGTGATTCTGTGATAATTAGATCAAATTTACACAACCCTTACTGCAGATCAGATAGATTGGTTCAGTGTCAGCCTGCCTTGATGTAAGTAAGCCAAGCGATGCGGTTGTTTCCTTTAACTTGGAAAAATCTTTGCAGTGCATTGTGTATAACTCTGTCTGTTAAACAATACCTGGTCTTGACATTTGGGACAGATCCACATGCCCTTGGGAATGGTTTTCAGAGGCGGATCCAGACAGTCCAGGTGATAAACACGTGAACATGTGTCACACATCAGCAACTGCCCACTTTTTCTGCAAACACTGCAAAAATCCTCATGGATATCGCCCTATAAAGATCGAGGGGAAGGGGTGAGGGTCAGAAAAAGAGAGGAAGAAGACAAAAAGTGAATTTTGACCTTTGACATCTACATCCTTGTTAAATGCAAAGTTTACAACACAACTATTTCTAAGGGGATTCCAAACGATCAAGCCCTTTATAGGAGGTGAAACAGGAAAATCAGGCAGGACATCAGAAACACATCAGTCATCCCAAACAGTGCCCTCCCAAGGTAAGATATTATAGCAAACACTCATCACCATACATTCTCTTAACACACAGTAACCCATGGCCTATGTTATTTTAGATTCCCTTCCCCCTTACCCTGCTTGTTTTTGCCTAAAATGATGAGCTACCCACTTTCTTAACCCTTCTCATTTCTGAATGTAAGCACAACTCCAGTTTGGGAATGCTGATGAGGCGGTCTCTTGCCAGTAATTATATGTAAGAAACCCCAGTGGAGTGACTTAAAAGAACACTGTCAAATATTCAGGTCACCTTTAAAAATGAAAGTAGAAGGAAAAGGTGCTCTGCTTGTAAATGAAAAAGAACAAAATGAATTACACTCTGGAGACAATTCTTTTTACTTCACAGAGGCTACCTCGAGTTGCACCAAAAAAGCTATGACTCAAAATTCTCTCATTTTCTATCGGCAGTGGCTTATGTTTCATCGCTAGCATAGGCTGTGAGAGCCAAGATGAAGGAATACCCAAGAGAGATTTTCTAGGAGTTTTCTTTTTTGGAAAGAGTTGAAAACATTACTAACATCTCTTGGCAAAATCTAGTCCGACTTACTACTGTATCACTATCAGAGATATTTCTTTTCTGCATGCATCAACTCCCCAGAAAGAAAGGTCTAATTTTTGTCACTTTTTCTTCTCTCTCTCTCTCTCTCTCTCTCTCTCCTCCTGTTACTCCCATCTTATGCTTGGGTTGGTAGTTGTGTTCATGTTTGTTTTCACTTTGTTCTTTGGATAAAAGTACACATAGGCATTGAAGAAAAATGGGTTAGCACCCATAGAATAGGAAAGGGGCATCGGAACCCACTTCTTTCTCACCTGTGGCTTGTTCTGACAGCTTGACATATTCTAGGCCCTGTCTGGAGTCTGAAATATGCACTTCTCACTGACTTTAGTCAAAAGCTTCACACAGACAACATCCTCAAGACTATAATCTCAGAATGTGTGTGCTGAGTCTAACTGTGCACACACTCTCCCTCTGTATACAGGCATTATCAGTGCATGCAGTGCTTCATTTTGAGCTGTACAGTCTTTTCATGCGTGTAAGTTCCATTATCTTGGAATGATACCGGACTTGGCCATGCACTTACAACATTAAGTTGCCAGACAAGAAAAATGATGCTAACCTCTACTACGGATAAAATATTAAACATACTAGAAGAATGAGACACAGGCAATCTGCTAAGGCTCCTACTTCCTGACTCTGCTGCTGATGAGGCCTTTCTTTGAAGGGAACACTATGCTTCTCTTAATTCCCGAGGTTAGCACTGATGCTGTGTTTTGTAAAAGATCAACCTTCAGTGAATTATCAGTGCCGTTTTTTGGTTCTGTAATTCCCAGGGATCACTGGCAGCTGGGTTATGGTATTGTTTCATACTTTAACACCACAGAGCTCTTTGGTGTTAACAGAAGAATGAAATGAGTGACATTTCATCCCTCCTCTGAAGTGATCTGCGTAACCAGGCTGGGAAGAGCTTCTTTTCCTCCATTATGCATTCTGCAAACACAAGTGAGGAAAGGAAGGCAGGCAGCAGGTGCCAGAGAAGCTAAACCAAAATCCTCTGCAACCTAAGGAAATTCTGACATTCCAGTAGAAAATTCTCATTCTAGAGAATTATACGTGTTGTTAAGATGCCTTTGGCTGCCATTGATTACAAATGGCATTTGGTACCTGGCTGAGGTGCCTAACTAGTGCTATTAAAAAACCCAAACTGATACATCTAATATCTTGCAGAAAGAGACCTATACAAGAGGTGCATTTTGTTGCTTCTTGAAGAGGAGACATGAAGAAATTTAGGTCCAAAGCCTTTTAAATTCAACAGAACATCATAAAACCAGTAGTGATATACTGGTCAGTGTGCAGTGTTTCTGAATGCATCAGAATGGCAGCACACACGCACAAAATCCATAATCCTATTTTGGTTCATCAAAACAGTAATGCAAATTTCCTGGTATTCCCTCAAAATTAGTAACTGGACATTAAAAATAAAAAATCCAGCCAATGCTCAATTCCAAAGAAAGATCCCAGGTTTTAAAGACAGTTAATAATGTATGCATGAAGGGTGCTGGATTTGATGTTGTGACATGCACCCCACTAATCTCAGCTTCTGGCCCTGCTCCCTGAAGGCTGTTTGCAGCCAACTTATGTTAGAGCAGAGCTCGCTGACGATGCTCTAACATATGTTATAGGCAGAAGACGCTGAAGAGTAATTTCAAAACAGCGTGAATATAAAAGGTGATTTAAGGTCACTATTCGCTCTATTTCTTCTTCCAAGATAATGGGAAAGTAAATAAAAGCTTTCTGAACAGCTAACATTTTCCTTTATTTTTATACGGTATCTACAGCAATAAGGCCTGGCTTTTGGCAGTACAACAGAACAATACGATATCAAATCCACAGTACGTGTGTATAGCTTATGTGTTTGAATGTGGACATGTATATGTACATTTCACTAGAATAACATGGTAAATCTAAATTTTCTGAAACAAGAATTGTGCAAGACCACATTAATAAAGATTATCATAATAGGTATGCGTGCTGTAAGTGACTCAATTATCACTAGCAATAATAATCTAGGCATTCTCGAACATTTATGAGCTTGACTTCACGGTCTGAATGTTCTCCAACACTCTGCTCAACTGTAACATTTATTAATTTACTAATAAAAAGGCATTTTGCGACCACAGGCTTGAACCATTGCTAGAATAGAGATTTCTAGACAGAAAACAGTTTTGCATTATTCTTTCTGCTGAGTAATAGACTATCAAAGGCAATTGCTGTCTTCCAGGTGAATATGCTATTGTGTGAGGGAGAATCACCCGTAACCAAGTGGTTCGCAGCCAACTTCAAGACAGAAAAATAAAAAATAAAAAAAAAAAAAGCTTTGTTCAGCCCTGCCTGTTATTATTTCCCTCCTTTTCCCAGGCTCTGTTCTCAGTTTCTACCCCTCCACCCTTATCTCCACTCCCATCTCAAGTTCCTCCCTTCAGAATTCATCTCTGTCACTGAGAGGATGACAATTCAGAAGAAAGGCAAAAAGCCATTCTGGGCTGTGGTGATGAATGCTTGGTCAATTTTCACAGGTTGGCTAAAAACAAAGTTTTTTCACGTACCAAACATCAAATTTCCCTTCTACAGCCTATAGGAATTAGACTTTCCAAATAAATGAGTGTAAAAAATGTTTTGAAGATGGGAAAAATTGCAGTTTTCTTCTTTAATTGCCTGGGAAACAGCTGAAAGGTTTTAACTGAGACTTTTAAAATAACTTTTTACTTGGGCACGCACGTATCATGTTTTCACTCTATATGGTCACCAAAAGCAGGAGGAGTAACAACAGGAAGCATTTTTTATTCTACCTGGAATACATCTTTCTATATTTTGACAAACACAGATTTGTAATTAATGAATATTGAAACAATCCATCAGCTAGGTCTGAACACTATCTAAACTGAGAAAATTCAGGGCATTCAGAACGAGATTAGAATGCTACAAGAATTCTCCATTCTTGATTTAGCCTGCTGTCACCAGGCAGAGCAAGAAAACAGGACACCACCGCATTATACTGTTTTGAGAGCTCTTATACAGTAGGAAATGACCATACAAAAGTCAGAGATGGAAAAGATCTAACACATTATCCAATCCTTCTCATGGGGCCAATATGAAAAAAAAAAAAAAAAAAAAAAGCTCTCTCCAGCATGTTTACTTGTCAATTTTACTGGTTACTTTTAGAAGTCCCCAGAGATGGAGCTGGCACACCCTCCCTCTGTGGGGCTGTTCCACAGTCTCTTTCATCTGACTGTCAGCAAAGGGTTTTTATAGCTGAGTGCTGTTTTGCTCTCAAAAGTAGCTACACAAAAGCGCACTTTCTAATTTCACATACGTATTCCCTGTGTATCAGAACTGCATCTATTTATTTCTATGACTCAAACACACTTCCACTATTTCTATTTCTGTTGCCTCTACAGAACAAATACCATTCAGAAGCAACAAGATGGCTTCTGTTGCCTCTTCTCCATGGCCAAAAGTTTGTCCCTTGGTCTATGCTCTTTAAGTGGTGAAACTGCACAGGTGAAAATAAAACCACCCAACTCAACGCTTCCGTAAAGTCCATTTCAAGTTGCTGGCTCTCAATTACACACAATATTACATAAAAAAGAAGCATACAAACAAACCAACCTAGGTCTCTTATTCATGTGAATAAATAAGCCAGTATCTTTTTATTTTCAAACTGTTCCCAGTACTTAGTAGTTACTAAAAGGCAAGCACTTTACTGGAAGTACACTACAACTCCTGACAAGTTTTGTACAATGAATTACTTCACTCAGTCATTGTACACTTTTAGACAAGCCATACTGTCCATTCATTACATTGTGTCAGACCTACACAGTAACTCACATCAACTTTCCCTGCTATTTCTTTTCAGAAACTTATGCACAGCCTTTAAATTTTTTTCTTAATGCTTTTGGCAAGAAACAGAAACAATGAAATAACTGGGTCATCCTCAGCAACTTTAAAAAAGGCTGAGCTTTGAGGGGCAAATCTTTGTTTCTAACTTAAAAAAAAAAAAAAAAAAAAAAGATATTTCCTTCTTTATAAATTATGAAAAAATGAGCAGATTTCATTTGAGACAGATTTTGTGAAGCATAAACATAGCAATTGTACATAGCAATGTATTCTACCAATGTAGCTGAACTGCCATAACCAGTGCAGTGAACAACTGCTCCTGGCTGTCTTGGGTGATCCAAGTTGTTTTCCTTCTCTCATTACTGAAACATCACAACTTTCTGTTACTGTGGTCTGTAAGTAATATTTTCCATTCTCTCCTTTCCCCTTTATCATGGATGACAGATTCAATTCAGTCAGACAAGATCTCAAACACGGCACAAAGGAAATGAGCTCATCTAGCATGCCTAGTGCCTCCCCGTGTTTCAATCCACCGCACGTTATAAATAAAATCTCTACAGGATAAGAACGTAGGTGCAGGAGGAAAAAGGAAGGGTGTTAAAAGGAGACTAGATGGTTTCACTGCGCTGAACCAGGACAAAGGATGAGTGTGACTAAAGAAACAAAATCTGCAATGATTTGCCTTGCGATTGTTTCTGCATATCTTCCCAAAAGTAACCTCCCTCCCCAAGAATTACTTACGTCTGTGGAGCTGGGGCTAGGCAGGGACACAGGCTGAACAGCCGCGGGAAAAGTAAATGTGGTCTCTGTCTTTTCATTTTCAGGGGAGTCGGGATAACTGGACAGAGGGGACGTGGGCGTCAAAGCCCCAAACCCCAGCACCGTGTTGTACTTAGGTGGACGACCTACATGTTAACAAAAGGGAACAAACAAACAAACAAACAAACAAAATCTTACATACCTTTGGCCAGTGGTCCTCATTGGCTAGCATGAAAAAGGAAATGACGTAGCACAGAGAGGAAGTTAATAAAAAAGTTACAAGTGGAAGGACAGAAGCAAAGATTTAAACATTTTTTAAGAAATATTTAAGTAGAATTTTGCCAGGAAAGAATATTTAAAAGATGTATTTCAGAAGGAAATAGAAATAAGTTCTGTAAGAAGGTCAAAGAACTACTCCCCCCAAAAGCAGTCTGCGGACTCCTAGAAACAAGGCTACTCAGTTTTTAGGGAAAATGTGTTGGCACCAAAGCTAGATAGGAAGCCACAATAACTACTATGAAATCCTTTCTACTGCTATCCCACACATTCCTATCTTTCTACTGCCAGCATAAACCTACACAAAGGTTAAGTCCTATCTCAGAGACCAACACTCACCATTCCAACCCCATCCTTTTCTGCTCATTTTTTAAACCCACTCACTCACAGATCAGCACTTTCTACTTTACTGGTACATCTTTTAAATTAGGGTGCCTCAAGAAAAGTCCTGTTGTGTGACTCATAACCCCAGCACTACCAGTTGTAATCTGTCGTTGGTCTTAAAATGTGACTCTCCTCAGATTCTGTGTTTTTTCTTAACCTTTCTCAGTCTAGTTTGTTTGACTATGCACAACTCCTATATGCTCCTTCAGATTAGCAGAAGTGCAAAATGTGTCTGTAACTATTTTCATAAAATTATGTATGCAAAGTGAGAGAGTAAAAACCAATATGTAACCATCATTTCTGCTTCCCTTCTCCACAGTAATTTATGACTATGTAAACATAAAGGACTTAGAATAATTCCCCAGATCTTATGTTTACAGATTGTCAGTCCATACCCATTAACATGCTAAACCTTGCATTTAAGGTCTGGATATGTTCCAGAACTAAGTATGTCCTTGGAAATGGATTTCTGATAGTGATGTCCATGGCTGAAATTTCTGACACGCTCAGCACCAACTCAAGCTCTCAAGGGCACATGCTTGCATAAGCTTTACGGCTAATATACTGCTATTCTAAATCACAAAATAAATGTATTCACCCAAATCTTCTATCAGTTAAAAATGCATGCTACTAATTTGGTGCTAATAGAAGGTGCAGGCTCACAACAGTGTGTGAGAAAAAAAAAGACAGTAAAACAGCAGTCAGCATGCATAAACAGGCTAAGAGAATATCAAGCACAAAAGCATGCAATCCCTTTCATTGATGCATTAATTGTTCACGATGACTTGTAAAATAGAATTAAGAAATGATTACTAGAAGTAGGAACATTTATTTATCCACAGAACAAATGCAACACTCTATCTCTGTAAAATTCATACCATACTATTAGAAAAAAAAGTCTTTTTTTAATGTGACTAGAAGATAGTGGTGCATACCGATGTGCTTTATTCAAAACAGCACAAGGGTCAGCCCTGTCACATTGCCTTCTGGACTGACAAGGTTTGTCAAATAAAGTACACATCAAATGAATATTTGACATTGCAGCAAAAAAAAAAATCATAATTGAACTGGTCAATTCTATACTTGACTGCACAAGTTCTTAAGAACTGCAGAAAATCATAAAATCAGGAAAAATTGTTATATATGTGTGGTTGATGCCTTGTATGAAAACCTGTATGAAATTCTGTGTTATGTTGTGCTGACTCATGTCTTTCATCATAACATAAGTATTAAAATTTCAACTATTCTTACAGAAGAATTTGGACTGAAGAATGCTGCATACCTATACAAAAGATCATATTCCATTCCTGGACAAGTGGCACTTTGCTTGCAGTAAAGTGCTCAGAAGGAGCAAGATAGTCTTTCTCCAGACAAATTCTTTCCAAGGAACCATCTCTGCTCCCACTGGGGAACAAGCTTTTCTCACACTAAGTTTCCTCTCCTACTCAGAGCACAGACACTTCTTCCACAACCACCTTCTTCTTGACAGCAGCAATACAATTTAGTTATTAAAAAGAGAATCTCGACAGCAGCTTTATACCTCTAAATGATGTTCAGACATCTCACCTTTCACTTTGCTCTATTTTTGTGGGGGAAGGTGAAACTGAAATGAAACACTGAGCTGCTTAATAAAACCTGCTATGCTAATCCCTGGAAGTCAAGATCTGTGTCTACCATGGAAATTTACTAGACAAATGAAGTACTGTAAAGTCCTTCTTTGTTTTGCCCTTCAGATGAACAAGGGGACTGCAAATGCAAGATGGAGGAAGAGGCACAGAGCAGGAAGACATGTCTAAGTATACCTCACCTCTTTTACGCGTTCCAGGATGCATTGTGCTGTTCAGGTACGTGACTGCACTCTTCTTGCGCTGCAGGGGAAAACACGACCATTTTAGCTGGCTAACATTTTTGCAACAACTATATAAAATAGCTGATGAACAGCAAGGCAGCACTACATATGATTACCAGCTGTTCTGTTTTCTGGAGCACAGCTTCAGAGAAGTTAGCTTTTTTACACTACTTCTGACCTCTGGACTGCTTCAGTCCAATATGCAAGCTGACCTAATGGTTAAGACTAACACACACTGCCATTTAATTTCAGTTTTACACAGGAGAAGGCAGAAAAGGACATAAATATTGTAGGAACACCCCAGCGTGCCTCCTGATTAAAAATCTAAGGGTCGTATCATTGCAATGGCCATCTGAATTACAGACAACAGCTACCCTGTCTTGTCAGAGGTAAGATGTCTTGATTGTCATGGTGGTGTGGTGGCAGTGTGGCAGAAAACAAGCTCAGAATGAAAGGACTAGCTTCCCCCAGCAAGAGATCAATACCTCAGGCTCAAAAACAGCTCCACTGTATACTGGATTTGCTGTTGTTCTTCTTTTCCTCTCTTGTCGCTTACTTTGGATTTCTTGAAAAACAAAGCATTCACTCAGGTTAGAAAACAACAGACCCTAGAAATTATGAGTTTCTAAGAATGCAGTTTGCATGTGAAGATTTCTACAGAACCATTCATGCTCAACAGAGGAAACTTTATCATGCTTCTAATTTCTGCAGGTTTGGAACTAACAGCTGACAAAAAATACAAATATAGTGCTCAACTAATTCACAAAATGACCATCATCTTCTCTCTAAATAAGAGTACTTCAGGATTAAGACTTTTTATACTGGCAGTCAGTGTAATTGGGAGCTCAAACTAGAAGCCTCTGATAACCTTGTCAGTACATAAAAATAAACACAGTACAGAAACACACAAGCTGTTGCAACGTTAGGCTGTTCTTCAACGTATAGGATTAAGAAAACAAATTATAATCTATTAATTCATTTCCTTTACAGATTACAGTCCCATGAAATCATGAAAGAAATGAGAAATCCAGATGTGGATTACTGTAAAATTATCCATGGCATAACTTTGCAGATACAGAGGCTGTTTAGAATGCAACAACATTGTCACAAATTTCTTTCCTACCATCAAAGCATGCACTTTCTTCCCCAACACTGATCCTTCTGATCTCAGCTGCATAAGCAACTGCTTTGCTTCCATGTAATAAGGAGAATAAAAGATGTGCAAGAGACCAGTAAGATCTGGAGTACAGACATCCCAAAAGCACTTTTGTATAAGAAAATACTACACTGAATACAGAAATATGTTGGACTTGTAATTCCCATTCAGAATGACTATGAAACAAAGAGCTCAAGAACCAGCTTAAGGCATTATTTTTTTTTTTACCTTCCAGATGGTCATGAGTAACTAGTCCTAGAGACACCATGAAGGCAAGTTTCTGTGAGAGAGAAGAAAAATACAGAGATCATGACAGTTCTGATTGTTAGGATAAGGTACTTTATTTAGGCCCCTTAAAATCAGTTGACAGGTAACTAAGCACCAAAAATGTTACTAATAATGCTTTGCTTCCATAACTCACTTTTCATTTATATATGCTAATTTGGGAACCTAGGCTGATACACAGGGAAATGTCAATTGCTTATGATCACCAAGTTGGCAGAGTCAGAAACAAGAAAGCAGTTTCTTTGCTTCCAATACACTGAGATAACTATGTGATTGGTTCTTAGTAAATGCCAACACAGTTTGCTTGCCAGTAAAATATTACTGGCTACAGAATCATCTCCATATTATTGCAGACTATAAGGAGCAAGTCTGTTACACAGTTTGATTAGGGCTATGGCTTTCTCAAGGGATTCTAATTTTAATGCAAGAAGTGCACAGACATCTAAAAATCAGAATTTGTACTGACAGTAGCTAATCTCACATTACAAATAGTCAGCTTGAATCTATTTAAAAAAAAACAAACACATTTAGTTGTAATCAGTTTCAGAGCTCAACATGGCAGAAGGGCTCTAAGAAATAGCCATTTTGGCTTTTCCATCCCCCCAAGACTAATGGGACCTAAACTAGAATAAGATCTAGGCAGAATGTGTACATACATGGCTCTTTCCATCCTGCTAATCAGAACAGTAGTTTCTTACAATGGAAAAAAAAAGGCCGTTTTCCAACAGTCTAAAAGCTCAAAGGATTAGAAATCAACGCTGTAATCTAAGCTTCCTGGTTGAAGGAAGTATCAGGCAAATTACAAACTTCTAATTTAACAAAAGACCAGAATGAAATATGCAAATGCATTATATCTGTTTAGATTTCTCATTCTGTAGACCTAATAGGTCTACAGTCATAGACTGATAGTTACTGCTGCCCAATAGGATATATGGAATATGAAAGTTTAGGAATCTTAAGGGAAGAAGGAGGAAAAAAAGTATTTTCTGGAGGACAAGGAATTCCTTCCATCCAGAAAACTCTGGATGTGCTCTGATACCTGTGGATTTTCTTCTCGTTTTGGCTTCGGTGCAGCAGGTGGAGTAACTGTACGACTTTCTGTTTGCTTCTCTTCTGCTTCCACATGTGGTTTAATAGTCTGAAAAAAAAAAAAGTTTCTCTCATTCTCTGATAAGGAGGACTATTTTATTTTGACTAATAAAGCAAAACAAATACTTCAACAGATACAAAGAAAAACAGTTTAAAGTTGGCAGTGTATTAACAAAGAATCGGATTGAGAGGAATATTAAATACTGTTTTGCTTTAACAAAGGATGAAGCAGCCTCACAACCATTCCATTAACCCAAGCAGCCATGCAAGCAGTAAAAGCCATCACAAGAGTTAACTCCATTACAGAAGTTGCTGTGCTGTTTGGGAAGGAAAACTTCAGGTAAAACCATTCTGCATGGTTACATGCATTTTATACTTCTGGCTCTTCAATCTTCTTGAAGAATTATGAATGGCTCAAAAACTCTCTCTCTGACTCCAAAGACCTCATATTTTTCTGCATTTTTTTTCTTAAGTCAGTGATACCACAAAACTCTTCATGTCAACCCCTAACCCATGGCACAGCTGTTGATACTACAAACTGAGGTAATCTCTACCAAGACACAAACTCTTCCTCACTACCAAGCAGGGAAAATATACTGAAAAGTTAATGTATTATTAAACCAGCAACATTTTTCTGTATGTTTTTCAACAGTTCCTTGATTTTCCAGTAATTATTTGAAGAGCAAATGAATATTGCTGACATCAAAAGGAATAGGCATCAAAAGTATAGTATTGTAAAAGTACTACTTCAAATCAAATGAAAAGTGCACGCACTGCTGAATAACTTGTAGAACTGCCTTGAGGTACACAAGAACCTACTCAAGTGAATTCATAGGGAGAACAGAACATAAGCATGTCTTTCATGCACTGGATTATCTCAGTCTCTATAGGTGACTTCAAACGTGGAAGATAACTTCAAGGCACATTAGTCTACGAAAGATTTGTAAGTAAAATGTATAGTAATATATGCATAATTACACAAATACACATTGTATGCTATAGATAATGCATTATACATTATATAATGGTATACTATCACTAACGTGTAATAAATGAAAGAATTAAAAGTGAAATAGAAGATTGCTTCACTTCAACTGAATGTCAAGGAAGCAGCAGCCGCAAACCACGCTAAAGTAAAAACTTTAAGAAAGTCTTTGGTGCAGAGGGACTTTAAAACTAATTATCTAGAATGCTCTGTTTCTGAGGGTCTCCCTTCTGCTCATTTAACCCAATTTAGTCATGGTAAACTACCAGTCCTCTAAAGATGAGTGACTCTATTTTTTCTCCAATTGTAAGACAGCAAGACTACAAGATCAAGGAAGAAATTGTTGGATTATATACTTCTATGGTTTTGCATCTTTTTTTTTTTTTGCTTCTCTGGTTGGCATCATCTGAAAAACAAAAACACTGAAAATATTTTTCCAGTGTTTCTTAAAGGCTTCATATGAACATGGATTTTGGTTCGTACACGGTCTCCAAGAAATTAGTACAGCTTTGGAATATAGCTTGCTTGCAATCAACGGAAGCTGAACAGTAGAGAGAATAAAACTCTTAAAGTATGAAAAGAAGATGTTACAGAAAAAAGGTTATTTCTACCCCAAGAGTCAGAAGTAATTTCATAATTTGTACTATTGTTGGAACATGAATATTTCCAGCAACCAATGAAAGCTTCTCCATTTCTTATCCTCTCCAAAACCATAAAGCAATACATCCAGTATGCTTATTCAGCAGACACTTTCTCATCTGTACCTGTTTTTCAACGTTTGGTTTGCTGATCTGTACAGTCTGAGGTCCAGCAAGCCTGGTACCTGGTGCTGCTATCACGATGCTGGTGAGCTGTGCCATAGGGAAAGTTTTGGCTATGGTTGCTGTCTGCCCGTTAACTACACGAACTGGATGTATGGAGTTCTGAGAGTTGGGTAAAGAGGTGGGTGTGAACTTTGTTGTCAGCATCACAGGCCTCTGAATAAGCTGAGGAGCTGCAAGCATTGGAGGAGGTGCTGGGGCAATAGGAATGTTATTTTGGGCAACTGGCTTAGGTCGAACCTACGGGGGAAAAAAAAAGGAAGAGAGATATTCATATACCAATACTGCAGAAAAAATTATTTACTAAGTCTTTCAATTCAGCCTGTATAATCCATGCAAGGTTGATTCCTTACAGAATGTAATTCTTAGCATAGAGTCACAAGTATGATATGAAAAAGAAAAGGCACGTTTTCGAATTTACTTTCATAAGATCCATCCATAAAACATTTGCATAAGCAGTCACAGTCCCTGAAATGGCATTTGGATGCACAGATATTTATATTACATGTATATTGCCAAGTGCCTTATATATGTCTAAATCAACACACTGCTTTTGTGAGCCAAAAACTAATGTAATATTTACAGGCACTGCAGAGACTTTCATGTTAGAAGTGTGTCTCAGGGCTTTATACTGAGTCTTCAACAATTTTTCAGAAAATCCTTGTTATCACTGTTATCATATTACTCTGTACATGTCTAAATAGACACTTGCACATCCACTCTTGCTAAATAAATAGAATTTTCACAATAATACATTAATCTCCCACTGAAAATGCTGAAGGGTACAGGTAAAGGCAGTTAGTAATATTTTTCTTCCATGAGTCACAAAAATTGTTCAATACTTTACTATAGATGCTTGTTCATTTCTTGCCCATTGTTTTACTTATATGATTACAGTGTACAGAAACAGAATAAATTACTCTGAAAATCAAGTCTTTTTCACTGTTCAGTTTCTGTTGTCCTATCCACATTTAATACTCCACAATGGATTTCATCATTAAAAACAAGGTGATGTTCCAACAGACACCAGCCTATACTTTCCTTTTTTTCTTTTGCACCACATTAAGGCTTGTAGTCAGTGCCAAGTATATGTTGGAAATGAAATAGTTCCTCCAAGATCTTTTCTTTTAATGAAGAAAGAATCAGTGTTTTTTCCAACCTGTGAAAAAATCTGTTTTCTACAAATTTTACTGCTCAGCTGTGATCAGAAATAACTCTCTGCTGCAGTACAGAAATACTTGTGAACAACCTAGAGACATCTTGTTTTTCCTTCTTGCTTATGAGCAGCAAACAATAATTACAGCAATTTAAGGCCTTAGGTGATGCACTGATTTTTGCTGACACCAGTTCAGTGGGTTCTTTCCTTTTGATGCAAATACATTCATAAATGATCACTATATGCTAATCTCATAATCAAGACAAGCAGGGCAGGAGGAAGCTCAGGATATTTCTAATCCAATCTCCTTCTCAGTACAAGGCAACACTCAATGCAGACCAAGATGCTCAGGCTTTGTCCAGACAGGTCTTGCTAACCCCTGGGCTTTACCCTGGGATTCCACCACTCCCCTGGGCAGCCTATTCCACTCCTAAATGATCCCACAGTAAGAAATTATTTCCTGACTGGATATTAGGAAAGCTTTTGTTACTGTGAAGATGGTCAAACACTAGAACAGGCTTTCTAGAGAGGCAGTTGTTACCTCGTGCTTGTCAGTATTCTAAGAGGCATTTGGATAATGAACTGCTCAGGCAGCTGGACTGGATGATCTTTGAAGATTCCTTCAAAAAGAATCATTCTGTTCTGCTCTATTGTACATCCAGTCTGAACCTTCCCATGAAGATGAATTGTCTCCTCCACCATGTCACCAATAAAGACTGACAGGCATGATGTTCTCAGAAAGTTTCTCCTATTTATGCTATAATTAAGGTCCCTCTTCAATTGCTTGCTCTCTATACACTTACCTGTGGAAGAAAATTTGGACGAGGAGTGAGTCTGGGAGGAGGGATGAACTGCGGCACTTTTATGGGCTGGGGTGTAGCCTGAACCTGCTGTAAGAATGTAAGACATAGTTCAATCAGAGAAAAATAGCTCTGATGTTGTTCACCAAAATCAACACCCTGAATGCATTTTCAGACTTGATGTTCCTGGCTTTTCACTCCATAATTTTTCATGATAGCAGCTTCTTCATTACAAATGTACTGAAAACCGAAGTACCCCTACTTTCCAGTGCCTGTATATCTTTGTTTACAAACAGAAGGCATCTCTCCTTTTAGTGCACCTGTACTAACCACTGTGGTCTGTGATCTAAAAATCACCTCATCTAAAGATAATGAAACTATGATTTGTTTTAACAGTTCATAAATGGCATTATAACTGACAGAAAGTAACTTCAGGCTTTGATGTCCAGCTACACTATCCTATTATATTCAATGGCATCCAGGAGAACGAAAGATTATCTCACACAAATGAGAAAATTTGGAAGATAGAACTCTACTATTTCTAGAAATATTAATGACACTCTGAGGGGCTGTAAATGCACAGCCTAAAATTCAAACGTAAGTCAATTGAAGCAATTAAGCACTGATTTTAAGGAGGCCTAAGTACTTCTCTTTCTACCTGAAATCAATTGGAGTTGCCAAGTAATTAATCTGATTAGTGCTACTAACTACCCTAGTTGAGTACTCAGTGAGATTCTTTGAGATTAATATCCATGTTAGTTTCCACCTTTCTCTACTTCTGTCCATACACATAAGATTGTGGTTTACTTCAAAAAGGTATCATGCTGATTAATTAAAGCTTGGGAAAATATTCTGAGATTTTTATGAAATGTGCTTGCAAAACCTAAGTCATGTGTAAGTATGATAACACTATCACCTGCACAGCCTAAGTAGGTTATTCAGCAAAGAGATTAAGCAGAAGCATGGAAGTCAGATGACAGGGGCAACAGATGACTCTGGAAAAGGGAACAGTAGAAAAAACTCCATGCGTTCTATCCTGATTACAATGATGCCCTATCAGGAAGTAAAATTACTTTGATCTGCATTATTAAACTGTATTTATTAAATTGTACTTTTAAACAAAGATAAATAAAGATTTGTATTTAGTGAAGTTTTAATCTTTAATTCAAAAGTGGAATTTCCCTGTCGTGATCCTATGTAATTCCTAATTTCCAGTCCAAGAAGGTTATATAATCTAATTCTACAACATTTCTTCTTATATTTCCAGGTGTCTCATTAATTGTTCAGCAAGTTAACTACTCTGGAAAAGACTGTATGATATAATCAGAGCACTTTCCAAAATACATGATTAAAGAAACTGGACCTGCGTATGAAAAAGTGGTGAGTGAAGACATGGTAGTGAGCAGAATTAAGTGGTGTGTCTAACATGAGAGACTTTATCACAGAAAGTGGACAAGAGAGATTGACTCAAAAAATGTAAAACACAAGCCCAAAAGGATCAAGCCATGAAGTTCTGACAGCACCTTTACCAAACAAAAGAGTTGAAATTTTGCAGAACACAGCCCATACACTGCGTAGGGGCAAAACAATTGCTGCTTCCCCGTGACTAACAGTTACTACACAGAGGTGATGACAGCACTGATTTAATTCTATAGAGCCAAACAGTAGTAACAACCCGTGTAGAGAATAAATATTTTTCTCTTGGTCTTTCAGTTTAGCAGTGTCAACCTACGAAGTCTCGTAAGTCCCTACTCTTCGCCTTTCTGGTACAAGAATGTGATATATTTTTTTCTATAGCCCTGTTGCAAACTAAACCACACATATTTGCAGGGCAAACACACAAAATGCTTACCAAAGTGACTGTGTTTTTCGCCACTATTTGGACTGTCTCAGCTCCTGGCCCAGTGACCTTATTTGTTGTCTGGAGGTTGACCGGTGCATTCTGCGCATCAGTGCTGAGGACTGCTTTCTGGTTGTTGTTGATAGCAGTAACCATGGCAATGGTAGGTCTCTGACCCACAACGGAGGCAGGCATGGTCGCAGTTGCTGCTTTCAAGACGAGAGGTAGTGTCTTAGTGGTGATCATAGAAGCTGTAGTTACCGTTTTCTAGAGGAAACAGAAAAAACACTGTAAGAGACAGAGACATTTGGCATCAGACAGGATGTGGGCTGGTTCATCAGAAACAACAGACAGTAGAAGAAAAGGCAGCACTAAGTCTACCTGCCCACTGTTCAGACATGCATATGATTTTACTCTTCTGAAAACTGGACAGCTAGAAAGAAATCTCATCTGGGGCTCCTGTTGGGAACATTTTCATCATTTGCAGAATTAGAGATTGATTCAAAAACAGTTTTTGAGAATATGACAACCAAGTGTTAGCAGAGAGAGGTGTAAAGGTTTTTTTTTGATCTTTTAGTTTCATACTACTTGTAAATGTGTACTGTCAACATCAACCCTATATGCTGGAAGTTTATGAAACAAACCAGCAAACTAGCTTCTCATCAATTAAAATACATAATTCCAAATGGAAATTTTACTTACAGAGATCATAATCAGAGGAAGAGGGAAAAAAAACCTCATAACCTTATTTTTTTCTTTAAGAACAAAAAGGGGTTTTGATTCTGCTTAGTCCAAATTTCAGTTTTAGACATACAGACAGTAATTTAGTCCTTCATGTTCTTTCCTAAGAATACCAGCAGGGCTATCCTGGAGTTGTGAGTTGGCTGTACGCCTGTCCAGCTGCAGGCAATTAATTTTAACTTCACTGGAATGGGGGAGTGGGGGTAGTTTTGGTGCATGCACACGATTTCAGATTGCTGTTAGCGTGTTTTAAAGAAAGTGGTTTTGAATCACTTAATGTCAGCATTTATCTGAAATGCATTGATACACTATGCCCCAAATTAAGTGCATTCCGAAGTTAAACAACCGTAATTCCCAATTTTGGTTTAAAATGTACCATCTTCTAAGATACTGAGGAAAACAGAAAATATCAATCTCATTCAAAAAGTAACAAGGCAGGAAGATCTCCATATAAAATCAGAACACAATGTGCACAGAAAAATCATGATGAATGACACTTGATAGAATGGCAGAATTTATCCCTTCTGTCTTTGCTGTAAAAAATCCAGTGTATTAATGAGTCTGCATCTTCAAAACGGTTACTGGCATCATTAAATGCTTTTAGAATGAAATAAGAGCCATTCCTTCCTGACAATGGTGCTGGACTTTGGAACAGAAAAAAATGGAGAACCAGGGGTCAGGCAGCCTTTCTCATGTTCTGAACATGCCTGATTCAGATTTATGAATTACGATGGCATAAGACCTTTCTTTTCATTCTAATAAAGTAATATATTTCCAGTTGGTTTTTTCAGTATTTTCTCTGATAACTATTTCCTTAAACTAAAATGTGTTTTGCCTTCACATCACCAATTTTTTACTGCTTAAACTGTATCTCCTAATTGTTAATTACACTCAAGTGTGAAAAAATCTCTGTATAATGCCAAATCAAAGAATAATTTGTGCTACAATTTTAATGCATTTATATAAAGTCTGGTCATAATAGTTTTTTCCTTGTCTCAACTTGAACAATTCCCTTAACTTTCCACTTTAGATATAAGAGCTTCTCATTGACCTCTACTGCACTGTATCCAAAGCAAGAGGCTCCTTTCCCCTGAAGCAGCTTGAATATTATTCAAGCTTTTCCAATAAGATGTAACACCGTATCATTTTCACAAGAATTACACCCACCTATAAACATTTTAAAGAAAAGTGTAATCCATCATGTAATACAAGACTGGGACACTTTCAAGGGGTTCTGCTAAGTGTGAAAGTACTGAGAGCATAGTTTCAGACAGCAGATCACAGAGCTTGAATTTCTGTATTACTTTGCAGAGCGTTAATTGCTTCGGTTATTCTAAAAGGTTTTCAATGCATGAATTCATACTGAAGTACCATTCACAGCAAGTTTGCTTTATTTCACATAATAACATTGTAATAGTACGAGCTTCCAGCGGGCTTGCTGCTTTTTGAAAAAATATCCCTCTGACTGGATTACATCAAGTATCTTACAGTGTCACTATTAAAGCAGTATATATAACTTTATGCCTGAACTGAATTACTCTGAGAATAGCAATTGAAAGCATTCTCTTTACTGGAAAATGTATTGTTACAAAAGTTGGCAGCAGTAACCTTTATACAGAGACAAAATACTTGACATTACATGTTCCTTGTATCTTTGTTGAAAGAGAAGGCGCAGTTTTACTGAGGGGCAAGAGAACAGAGAACCTGTACATAGATTCCAAGTACAGAAGCAAGTGATGATACTGCAGAGTTATACCAACATAAACAAAAACAGATCACTTAAGGCTGCGAGCTGGCTTTTTTTTATTCAAATGAGAGGGAGACCTGCCTTTCAGTTCCTAATTACTTTCTGAGTGCAACCGCATCAAGGAGTCAGAAGGGTGTAGCAGTTTTGTGACTGTTTCACTAGAGGGCTCTTTAACTTTAAACAAAACCTGGGTTTTTGCAACCCAGAATATGACCTGGAAGTTAAAGCGTGAACGCAAAGTGTGGAACAAGGACAAAAATGTAAGGCTGCTTTTGCAGTTGTGTTTCCTGATTGAAAAGCAAAGAGTGATTCACCGTTTTACGACACACTTCATAGTTCTGTCCTAGATTCAGTGTAGACGTTTGTGCTCAAGACCATCTTTTTCTTAGACAAGTCTGCTTCATTTCTTCAATATTCTTTTTCAAGTACCTAAGCCTCACACAGATATTTTTAGAAAATATTCAAAACAACTTGCTCACTTAACGAGATAGCTAAGATCCCAACCATTTCTTCCCCTTCTACTTTCAGGAAAAGAAGAGAACGGTTACCAGTCAAAGTTACGGTTGCAACTCCCTGCAGTATGCATAAAGCAAATGGTGACTTCTGCCATCTGCCTATCCAAGCTATCCATGTGAGCTGCTGAGATGGCAACAACAGGTAAAAAAAAGTCACACATCCTCTTACTATAAAATGTACCCCTGCCTTTCTACCTGCTTTATTAGCAGACTTTTGAGATTCCAACTATTTGAACAGTAGAGACTTGGAATTAGCTTGCAATTTCCTTCTCAGTAAAGAGGTCCACTTTCCCTGGTGAGTTCTGGGATTATATCTCTAATCCCATACTGTAGTGAAATTAATGTGCTTTCCCAATAAATACACAACTATCTAAAATTTAAACTTTGTAACTACCACTGTATCCTCTTAAATTAATGTGTGCAGACTCGGTTAAGAATTATTACATATGAGTTATGTCTGTTTAGAAAGAGCCAGGCAGAAAGAAGAGGGAATTGTTTCCTTACATTTTGCTCACAAAGACTGTGAGTCTTTTAAAAATAAGTGATTTTAATCATACACTTCATACAGTACAAGCAAAGTCTTTACTGTTTCTTGAGATCTACTGGCTATAGGTAATCACATATGCACCTGTGGAAAAGACAGATTAATTTGCTAAACTTTTATTTATTTCTAAGTAAGATGATGCGACCACCTTTCTTTTTTGTGACATTATGATCTGACTTTTAATCTCTAATAGGTGGTTATTGAAGAAAAAAAATGACACACCAAACCAAACTACTGATATGCGCACATGCACAGAAAGATAAATTAATATTGGTACACTAAGAGGCCAAAGTGAAAGTTTGTAATTTTCTGTCTGCAACTTTGATTTTTCTGCAGTGAACTTTACCTTCAGCAAGGAAAAGAACTGCTCTGGCAATTCTTACCTGTGATCCAATCACATTTGGAGAGGGTGCAGTAGACTGCTGCTGCTGTTGATGGTGGTGTTGCTGTAATTGTTGTAGTGGTTGTGGCTGTGGCGTCTGTAGCTTGTTTTCTGACTGTGCCAATGGCTGTATTTGAAACTTACTGTCTGGCTGTTCCTGCTTCACTATCAAATTCTTCCGAAGCTGTTCCACCACTCTTTTCTACAAGACAAATAGAAACATAAACAGATACGATGATGGTTAATTTGTTGCGTATGTTAGAGAAGATAATAATACCTAAAAGCATTTAAGGTAAATAAAGGACTATACAAAAGTGCAGTAGGAGTTCTCTTTTTAGAATTTTAAACATTGGTGATAACTAATGGACTGAATTCCATTAGCTATGCTGTCCAACAAGATGACCTTTTCTCCTTGTGGAAACTCACCCCACTCCAGGCACAAACCACTGCAAGACCTCATTAGCATACATTCACTTGAGACTTGTTGGCATTCAGATTCCAAAGTCTCTGTCTCCTTCTGACACGCACTTCTAGGCACAGAAAATGACTGGCGAGAGAGCCACACTGTGTGCAAAGTGGGGAATAGGAAGGGCACTGATGTGTGGTCATTCAGTCCAATATTATTGTCAATTGAAAGAAAATCAGATAAGGCTACCTACAGCAGGAAAGAAAGACATAGACTTATTTCTCCAAGCTTAAATGCTTCCTGTGATATTATGGCTTTCATGAAAATTTGAAATTATTTCAAAGGGAAGTTTCTTCTCCTGGTAGCTATAGGTACCCTTAGAAGATCAAAGATCTGACACCAGACCAGATGACTCATGGGATAAGATACCCTGTCACTGTATGGGTAATAAGGGCTCACGTTTTATGTTCGTGTGCTTTAGCAACAGCAAGGAGTGCATATACCACAAGACTTCTTTGTGTGTGCACATGATAGGAAACAAGCATCTCTTCTGATCCTCTAACCACCACCAATGTAGGGTAGCTTTAAAAAGATTCAGATGTGTACTCCAGAATTGTTACACTGCATGGCTGGATGTGGAGCAGTACACTAAAGAGTGAATTGACACGCCAGGGGCCAGCCTGAGGAAATTTTATCAAAAAGTCTGATGGTCAGACCAATTCAGTCAGAGCTTGGCACTGGCAGAAGGAGCTGCCTGAAGCAGTCTCACTTGCATGAAAAGAAACAAAAACTTTCTGACAGTATCCAATCTTTGGATTTTATTTTATTTTTTAAGCATTTCTATTAGGGTGTAGTACAAACCAGAGAGAGAGAATGAAAAAAATAATAATCCACATACATACAACCAACTAAAACAATCTTTCCCTGTTAATATATATATATATTCTTTTTTTCTATGCAGGATTATGGAACTCTGAAGTAGTGAAGTATCAGTTCTTCTTGTAGTTCCCATTCTCATACTTTACACCTACTTCCAAGTATGTTGCTTATGATGGCTTAAGGCTGCACCATGCCTAACACACTAACCTTTTACCTAGAAAACAGCAAAAAATTGCAGGGTTCTAAACAGGCACTTTTTGAGAACCAGAACTTTAAAAAGCAAGAGAGAACACATTATCAACCAAAAATAAAAGAAATTTAAAAGATTCTGTTTCATAGGGTTGAAAACTGTGAATTCAAAGTACAGATGTTTTTGCAAAAGACTGAATTCAGCAGCTACCAAGTGTACATGAGGAAGACCACCCTTCTAAAACCTCCCTGGAGTTGTGGTGATGGCCCTGGCAGGGATGCACACCGCACTCCAAAGGCAACAGAAACACTGGCTCAATCTCATTGAAAACTCAGGGAGCTTGTAGTAGGCAGGAATGCAAAATAAATATTTTACACTGCACCTAGAAGAATGCTAATAGATATCAAAACCTAAAAACTGGAAGCCGTTCCCGCCTAGAACTAAGAGAAAATATTAAGGGTTTATAAAGTATTTTTCAAATTCAGATGATTTACATGGTTTTAAGTGGCCTGTGTCTATCTGCTCATTCAAACATGGAATAGCTGAACAATCATTTAAAATTGCTGTCTGAGAAGATCAACCATGTTAACCCGCAAACTGAAGTGCTGCATCAGCAAGCAGAAGAGCTGCAAAACATTTCCAAAGAGCAAACCAAGGGGGGGGAGGCGAGAAGGGAGCAGAGCAGGAGATGAAATACTGCAACATGTCTATGTAATACATGCCAAAAACGTACTGTACAGGAGGCTGAAGAATTGCAGCACCAACTCAGGACAGGAGGCAATAGGACAATCTCGTCCCATCTTGCCAATAGGACACAACAACGGCGCTGCTGGGGAGAGAGCTGCTGCGAGCCGCCTGGCAGCGGTGTATCCTGCCATCCACATCCATTATGCAGATATTAAATTGAAAGAATCATCTAATGCTTTTAAGATTCAGAGCGGTACAAGTGAAGTTTGCAGAGAATGCCAATTGCTGACGCAGTTTATTAAGCTTCCTCTACCAACTGTCAGTAAAAATACCACAGTACCACTACAGAAATCGTTATGCTATTTGGAAGGCTGTGGGGATTACGTGCTTGCTAGCAGTTATCAGGAGTGGCTCTGAACAACGTATTCTGAAATTACTTAGCTTAATTACCCAAACCAGCTCAGGCTGCCCCTACACCAGCACCAAGCTCAGGCCATGCCTGCTCGCAGCACCTCACTGCTGCATCCTCCCAGCACCACTGCCAGCTCAGGCCAGGAAAGCAAGGAAGTCTACTGTGTGGCTTCATACTACATTAAAGCAGCGTTTTTAAATGGTTCCTGGGAGCTATTGGGCTGTTTTTAATCAATACTGAATGTAGTTTGGGCCCCAAAATGTGCAACCTGCATAGCTGAAATTTGCCAGTGTTGGTGTAAAGTCCTGGCTGCACATTTGGTAAAGCCAAGGGACACTGAGGTGACCTAGAAGCACCACAGAATTCTTAAGAAATATTCCCAATAATTGCCATTTCCTTCCCTCCATTTTTAATTGAAGAATATTTAAACACTGCATTCTTATTGACAACTTCAGAGTTTTAAACTGAGAATAACTCAATTGCAAACACATAAACATAACACAGCAGCTTTCTGAGTGTCAGAAAGCTCTAAAGCCCACCCGTATTCCTAAGGTAGTTTCTTTTCCCACAGTGCCACAAATGTGTGAAAAGCATTTGTCTTTCAAGTTTACTGAGTTTTCCTCAAAGCCTCTGTTTACATCCAGAATGTGAAATAAGTTAATAATCACATCCTTTCATCTGAGCTGTATCCTACCCAAAAAATAATTGCTTGTGCTCTGCAATGGTTATGGTCAGGCTGCTACAAACTCTATTTGCCGAGCTGTACCCTGAAAGCATACTGCATAATGTAATAGCTCTTGCTGTCTTGACATCTTCATCACTAACTTCATCAAGAACTCTTCATGCCACTGAGTTCACAGAGCCCTACACACCTTATATGACCCCTTCTAAAAAGTAATAAATGTAGTCAATACAGTGACATTTAGTGATAGCACTTTCTCGTTCACATCTCAGGCCAGATCAAACACAGCATTACATTATTTTGGTTTGATTAAGCAGAAAATCTGCCTCTGCATCTCACCGTGCCTCAGTGAGACAAGAAAAGATGTCTTCTCTGTGCTCTTATCAAAAGCTTTCTTCTATAGCAATATTTTCATTATAAAGTCCTTGATAAAACTTTAAGCACAACATTATTAGCCAAAAATTATTTCCACGAAATCATTCAATCAGTCTATGAAAAAGCGGTACTGTGAGTACAGCAAATTTTAAAATACTAGATCCCTCATTACATTTGGTGACACATTTTCTTTTTTATCCAAGCAACATTCCAAAAAAACCCCCTGTGCCTATCTAAAGAGGCTCTGTTATTAAACTTCAAAGATCTATAAAAGAGTTTAACGTTAAAATCTCCTTAAAAAAGAGAAAGATGTGAAGTACCAAGCAGCCTCACAGTGCGTACCTTCAGTATCACAAAACCAGAGCTGATGTGCTTTGAATTTACCAAGTACCTGCCAGTGACCAGTGACCTGTTTTCCTGCTCCACCGACTCCAGTAGTAAACTATTAAGTGCACCCTGTTCTCTTACTCCCTGCAATGAGCAAGAAACGTTCTCTGGGATTTAGAAGTTGCCAGCTGCTGAGAATGAAATGGTAAGAGAGGATCGGGAGTGGAAAGGCTGGAGGGAATCTCCCTGCCCTGCAGTCTCTTCTTCCTGCCTCCCTCCCTCGCATTGCCAGTGCCTGATGAGAAATGAAAGACCTCTGCTTCTATGTAGAGTTTAAAGTTACTCTTTAAACTGCCAGGGGTGTGCGTTTTGAGAGTGGAATTTAGGAGTGGAAAGATTACCAGCAAGGAGAATAATTGTATGCTCATCTGCTGATGCATCAGAAAGTTAAAGTAGGAGAACGCAATGATAGAAATCCATGATGCCGTATTTCACAACTGTGAGGAAAAAAATCCATTGTATAATAAAACTGGATTTTACTTCTATTGACAGATTTCGGAAAGAAATACATTCACATCTTTAATGGTCACCATGTATTTGTACAGAACTTTGCATCTTTAGCTGTGCTCGATTCACATTCAAGATTGTTTGATGAACAAAAAAATCTAAATGAACTAAATTAGAAAAAAATTATTCCCCTTCAAGAAACATGGTCAAACTTTCTACTTCTACTCCAAACTGCCATCTATACATGTGAGTTGAAACTGCCTCCCCTGGGAGAGTGGGGAAAGGGATCGCCTGTGTTCTGTCGGGCACACAGCCACCACGGCCAGCAGTGGGACTGAGACTGCCAATGCCTCATTACTGGGCACAGGTATTGAAATGCGCATATTTCTTTCTACAATTTACTAACCTAACTCATTTTTTCCAAGTGTTTTTGTTTGTTTGTTTCTTTGTGTGTTTGATTAAACACAGACATCTTAACCCTACCTATCTAGTGAGTGGCTGCACCGCCAACACACCAGTGAGTGTCCCAAAGAGTCTGTGCTCCACACAGCCCACGAAAAACATGTCTAAAAGCACTAGAGACATAAAGACGTATTCTGCATGTCTACATGCATACCTATTTTGAATGTGAGATTTTTCCATTAGGACAGAAAAACACTTCTCAAAGTTGCTAGAAATAATTCAGAAATGGCTTATGCACATTCTGAAAATAATGTTAGTTCCTTCATTCCTAATGGGAGAGAATGCTTATCAACTTTTCTATTTTATTTAAATTATGACTAGATTTATAAACGAAAATGACTGAAAATAGCTGCTGTGCCGTTCTGTTTTATGCGAGTTCTTGATTGCTTTATTTTCAGTACTGTGCCTTTTACCATTTGCAGCAACACAAGATCAATTAATTTTTGGAAGGAAATGCTGTACCGTGAAATGCCTTATGCATCACTGTCTTCTCATTTTAGAATCTCTCCTACTTGCTGCACAAAGTAGGCAACAGACACTGAACTAGCAGGAGCACTACATACACTATGTTTTCCTTCAGCTTATACATTAAATAAATACAATACTTGCCCCAATACTTTTGTTAACTGAAAGAAACCTGAAAGAACATCTACAATATTTAAACAGTAAAGCAATTAATGAATGGAGAATTAAATACATGACAACAGGCAAAACAGAACAAGAAAAACAGTTAAGCGGGGTAATTGCAATGTAAGGAGAAATAGAATGCAAGGCATGACAAGGATTGTTGTTTTGTTTTAGGTTTTTCTGCTTCTCAGAAATACTTCTGAGCACAAACACAAGCTGGTAAAAGGATGTGGGGATCATCTCCACGTGAAATGGTCAGAGAAATGAAACAATTACACTGCTGACTACCACATTAAAGGTGCTAATTTTTATCTTATCTTGCCCATCTCCATATTGACTTCCCCAGTTCATATATTTCAGGAAAACAGATTCTCCTTGGGAAAAAAAACCAAAAACCTGGATTCTGAAGAAACACAACAAAGGTTCTTTTGAACTTTGATGTAAAGTACGTTTCTATGTCTGACTGAACTCGTCTTCTAGAAGTCTGTAATTTGGACTCATAAAATGTCACGGACTAAAACTTACTGTATACAACCACAGCAGAAAATTTACCGCAGGAAAACATGTGGGAATGATCTCCTCGGGCAAGTGGCTCACAGCTCTGCATGGCAGCCAGCGGTTTCAACTAAGCACCTCTAACAGGGAGATACCGCTGCTTCTCTCCTCTAACCTCTGATTTATATCATAATGTGACATCTTCTAAAGAGAATTTGTCTGAATTAAGTAAGCACAGCAGAGGACTATACATCAGGGAATTTATTTCTTGCTTTACAAATCATCAGCCTCAATAAAACAATCTACTTTCTAATCTGCTACCTCCTAATATTTTTGAATAGCTCAAACAGAAAGGGTAGTCACAGAATAATTTTACAGTGTGCTCCTGCACAGTAACACAGTCCCTACAAGAAAAAATGAATCAGTTTCAGCAGGATTCTTGTGCATCCCACTGCTTTTCCCATGACCGCATCACACCTCTCCTCCTCGTGACAGGAAACACACACAGATCATGCACCATCAGAAGTACCAAGCAAGATGACTAACTTGAGGTTAGAATAGGACGTAAACTTCTCTTCTATTAAGAGGAACATCTGTATGCACGGACTGTATTGTAGGAGAACCTGTTGATTACCTTGATATTGTCAACAGCATCCAGTATTTCATTTCCACAGTTTCTTTACAGAGATCATAAACTAACTGCAGAGCTTAGAAATTCAAAAAGAAGGCATAAATACAGAGAGACTTGATACAGAGATACAGAATGAAGTAGACGCTTGTATTAATTCTTTCCAGAACTAGAAAATATGGAAAATATTCCATGAAATTGAATGTTAACAATATAAAACATGTAGAAGTAGTTTTATTCAATTCATTTTGCATGCAGCGTAATCAACCTGTTTCAAAGATCAGCTGGCTAAGGGATCCTCTAGGGATGAGAGGAAACGTTAGTATTTCTTTGGGGATTTACCACAGCTGCTTAAGCAGCAGTGGGCAGGCTTTTTTCCTTTCAATGTTGTCAACCAAATACTATTAAACATGGATTCAGTTAAACCCCCTCACTACCAACATCACACAGCAATTCACTATTGAGCAGTCTTTAATAGGCAGAATGAGCTACCAGAGCAAAAAGCTGTAGTTTCATCTCAAGTGAGAGGCTTTTTTTTCTTCTGATTCCTACATTTAAACAGCAGGTCAAACAAGAGGTGTTCTGCCCAGCCAAACCTGCTCTAGTCTTCTCTTTAGTTAACCAAACATGATCAAAACGAAGAACAGTGCCTGCTTCACAGAAAAGACATGAAATCAAACTAGTACTGCAGATCCAAATCGCTGGCCTTTCATTGTATAAGTTTGTGGATCAGTCAACAGTGACTCTCCTCTCCATGGAAAAACAACACACACACACAAAAAAAAAACAAACAACCAGAAAAAAAGTAAAGGTTCTTGCTTAGCCATCCAATTTAAATGGAAAAGAGAGGGAGGACTTTGCCCCTGTGTTTATCTCAGTGCAAATAATATCTCACTAAGTATGGCTAAAACTACTAAAAAATTGAAGATGCAGTTCTATCTCTTTTAAAAACAGTTTTTGTCTAAGGATGCAGAGCTACTGGTGAGAGTCCAAAGGAAAATCACAAACGCAGTTGAAGACCCAACAAACAATGCTGTGCAACATGGGGATTCCTGTGGCTCAGCACTTCCTGCTCATGACATAGAAAGCTGAGAGGAGACATCTGACCGGGTAGCAATACTTCTGAGCATGCGGGGGGGGTTCTGAGTGTCTCTGAGAAATGTAGAATGATAATTCCATGACTGCAACCTGAAAGTAGACAAATTCAGCCTTGAAATAAGATGCAAAGATGGGTCAATGCTGGAAGAGCCTGAGATGAGCTACAATGGCGTGCCACGGCTTGACATTTTCCAGGACAAAATTTTACAGCTTTCCAAAGGAAATGCTTAATTTAATTCTTGGAGATTCCATAACTACATGTGTGGGAATCCTGAGAAGCCTTTGCTCATGCCCAGCCTTGATGGGCCACAGGGACAGCACAAGTGCCAGCATTGTTCTCAGTGGCCTCACTTCCCTGGCACTGAGACACCACATAAACACAGTCTTCCCCTTTAGAGTATGAATGTCTCTCCAGGGGCACTAACGACCAGATATACTCAGGGTTGATTTTTCACCTTGTTCTAAAATATAAGCTGGTCACAAGCAGAGAAATGAAGTTGAGCAACACAAACTAACCTTCCTTTGATGCCTTTCATTGTATGCCTTGCTTACACATTCATGTTCTTATTAATTCCAGTCTTGGAACGGGAAAAAAAATTCCCAGGTCAGAATTACTGGGATGTTATTTTTCCCTTCCGTTACAATGTAGAGTGTGGGTTCCTGCTAGGTTTGACTGGGCAAATTTCCCCACATCAACCTGCTGACATTGCAATGGCCTTCAGAATAACTGGCAGCCCAATCTATCACCTGCTCTCTGGCTGTGGAACACAAAAACTTCGTCTCCTGATAACAAAATCATCCTAGTCTCACTGAAGTCAGGAGACATCACACAGGAGTGCTGAGGTAGAATATAATGGCTTCTAATCACAGGAAGTTGAAGTAGTTATCTCATTTGTCCCTTTTGGTTTTGACGTGTGGCGTCTCTCCTCTACTTCCTGTTTAAGAAGAAAGTCTTTTTAAAAAAATCTGCCTGCTAGATGAAAGACAAAAAGCGTCTGACACGCACAGTTGTTTTTAGCAGATGTACACAGTACCTAACAGCTAACAGGATCAAGCATAAGCATTTAAGTACGCATATAATTTGATATTAATCTAAAATTTTGGTCAGTTTCTGCAACATAAATCTCAGTAGCTGTTTTTGCTGCCCCGAGAACTCTTTTCTATAAAAGTTTAATCCTTTGGGATCTAAATGCCTTAGGAAGGTGCCATTACTCCACTGAGCAACGTAACAGTACCGTGAGGAGCATAAATGAAGAAGTCATGTGTGGAACACAAAGATCTTTCTGGCTTTGATGGACACCTCATGGGAAGATGCATTTGAGATATGATATATCAATATGGACAATAAACAGCAAGAAAGAAAGTACTAACAGAGACCACAGAAGGGAACATAAACATTTCTGTCCGTAGGTTCATACCACTTCTTCACAGTGTGCTTGCTTGTTTGACAGTTATTCTGTCATCATTTTAGACTGTTAAACCTCTGCTCTAGGGTTTATAAAAGATCAGAGCACTTGTCACTCTCAGTGCAGGTAGAGGGAGATAGAGTGGTTGAGCAGTTCATTTTTCTTTATAATTACACTCCATTAACCTTCCACATGAGAGCTCCCCCGCGCTTTCATACCAGCAGCACCAACTGGCTGTGTTTGATAAGGCTCAACAGAGTCTGCAAGACCAGCATGTGGAACAAAAGGAAGACTTCAGCACTGCAGAATTAGCAGAAGCTGGTTTGAAGCCCTGTTAGTGGCAAAAAAATATTCAGCTACATGACACACAGGTGGACAGACAACAGCTTCACCCTACCTGCTTCCCTACAACCACACTCCAGACCTCCGTAGGTGCATGAGCTAGTATTTGAATGCCAAATGCAAAGCCAGGGAATTATTCACTACAGGGAACTGAATATTTACCATGCTTTCACCTCGCTGCAGAGATCTGCCAAGAGAAATGCATTTGGAGTATTAAAGCATGCAGGGCAATATAAAAGAAGTTGTCATTACATTATAATTAGATCATGTTGGAGTAAGCAAGCAGAGTACAGAGAAGGAAAATTACTTCTGAAATTTATTTTTTATATGTTTCAGGTACCTAGGGTTGTTTGCTGTATGTTCTGAAGACGACACCAGTTAACAAAGAGCATTATATTCATCTGCAACCTTCTTGACGGTGACCACATAAGTGATAAGCTCTTCTAAAAGGAGAGACTTCTTCGATTAATAACGTATTCTATGAGAGTTTTAAACTCAGTGCCAGGAAAGCTATTTTCCATGTGCATTAAGGTAGATTAGCATTTGTGTATACTGAGCAATGGTCTCGGCACATGCTTACACAGATAAAAGGGAAACAAATTTGGAAGGAGGGACTGTAAACAATCTGGAATGGGATCCAAATTAGTCAAAAAAATAAATGAAACCTTACAAAATCTGCACTTCCAAATGACATTCTATATTATCTACTGGAATTTTTAACTGTTTCAAATGCCTTCATAACATGAAACTGCATACAGAACTGGCCTGTAGAAGTGAATGATTATGATATTCTTTTTGCTACTTAGGTCCATTATCCTTTCACAACCCTCTTCTGGTGCTTAACATATTGTGATACTGGCATCTGCATGCATCTCCATAAATAAATCTAACTTCTTCCCTACAGTACGTTTCCCAACCTTCAGCTAATATTTTGAAATGATGTGTCATTTTCTGTGTCTTGGTAACTTTGAAGTGTCTGAAACAAAATCTGTTTATGGTGCAAACCAAACCAGGCTATGAATCCAGCACTGTCCTTGTTCAGAACAATACAGGAATTTTATCTCAGAGTTCTGGTGAATGTCGCCACAGATCCCCTATCAGTACAAAGGAAACAGAGATGATACTTCTATTAGGAAGTTTAACACTGCTTCTGAAAGCTCTTAACATAAATCCCACTTCCAACTCATAGTAAGTTTTGTTTGCTTGTTTGTTTAAGATTTTGGACCTCCTTTCCCAAATTTTCTTTACCTGAAGACACCAATTCGATCTGTAATGAAATTTAACTTGTGCCACCTAAGCCCATATAACACGTGACATTAAATCAGAATTAACGTGTGTGACTGAGAACAGTGATTTCAATACTGCCAAGTTGTTGTGGCTGCCTCAGGAAGGCAGAAGAGTCAGAGGACAGTTACTTCTCTCCAAGGCAGACTATTCAAAGTGGGAACCAAAGTACTTTTGTAATATTCATTTCTTGGATGAACAATGAAAGCTTGGATGAACAATGAAAGCTGTGTCTCAGATGCACTTGGTATCAACTAAGAGGTGAGATGAATTTTGTCAGATGTAATTTCTCTACTAAAGATGATGTTCCCTCTCCAACTTAATAAATCTGAAACAATATAATTGCAACATTAAGTAAAATTCTATAAAGCATCCATATCTCTTGTTTTTGAAAAAAATGATTCTACAGTGTCTCAGTGCTGTAATGCAACACTCAGGTTTGAGCTGGGAATGACATTTGCCAGGATGGTAGCACAGCACTTTGAAGGAAGGCAGAATCAACAGTTGAGGCACCACACTTAGCTCCTACTCCCATAAAAAATAATTTTCAGTTTATGCACAAAGGAATTGCACTTAATGCCTCTACAACCTGCTCTCTCATCTTTCGTGGTGTACATTTTGGAAGCACTGAGTATTGAGACTGTTCTTAGAACAAAGCACTGCAGAGGTGCTTCTGCTCCCGTGGCCTGTCAGCCGTCAGAGCTACCACCATTTGGAATGTGCTCTTTGGACAAGTGGGCCAACCTCACCTCCAAAGAGTGCAATACTGCAGCTCATGGGACTTCTTAATAATAAAAACAAACAAAACAACACAACTCTTGACCTGCAAAACGTGCCTCTACAGAACTTTTCAGCAGTATTTACTCTTTTCCCCAATGCCTGTTAGAAAATACTTCAGTAGGAAATACTTTGCTCTACAGTGGCTCATCATTCTCTTTTTACAGAAGATCTGACAAAAACAGTGAAGTTCTGTTGTTTTGTTATGTCAGTGAAGGAGATCTTGAGGGCTTTGAGGAGGGCAGATCATTTATCTGCACATACAGAAATATGCAGGCTGGGAAAGGACTCCTAGAACAGAATTACTGAGGTTTTTGGTACTGTTTATGTAATAGTCTTTGGAAGACTTAAGGACTGTTGAGATCATAAACGTAAATGTGAGAAACACTCATTAAACTTTGGGAAGAGAATCTCAATCCAAGAGGCTAAAACTCTGCAGATTGGTGGGGGTTGGAGTATTTTTGTTAACAGTTATTTTGTTCAAACTTTACAAAGAGCCCATGAGTGCTACAGATTTAAAACGAACACTAACTAAGCCTTTGATGAATTTCTCTAAAATTCCCCAAAGACTTTTCTGTCAAAAAGTGGTAAGGAATAGCAAGTAAGCCCTCTTATAATTCTTCTTTATGTGATACAAATATATAATAACTGTATTTAGGGAGAGACCAAGACTACTTCTTTGCCTCTGCAGGCCTGTATTACATTTAAAAGGCAAATTAACTTTTTTTTTTTTTTTTTTTAAAAGATGATGGCAATGATGAAACAAATACTATATGTATTTGCACATGATGACGAGTAAGTGTATTTTGAGAGCCTATGCCTGATGTGATACTAATGCAGAGAACATGCAGTGTATTGGATGAAGACAGGCTGCACTACAAACCAGTCTGACCAGCTGAACCTGCACTCAGGGGTATCATCAGAGAGCTGTAGTGAAACTCAGAAATTTTACTTGTTTGGCCCTAACTCAGCGTTTCTGAATATGTTTGCCAGCATCAGCTCACAACACAGGCCCTCCAAAAGCAGCCTCAGCAAGTCTCCTCCGGGGAATTTCCATAGACACCTTGCACACTGGGCTCTAGGAGCTGTAAAACACAGAACAGGAGTTTTCCTCCCCATGGTTTTGCACTGATGGATTTTTTTTTTCCCCTCTCTCTCTTTTTCTTTTTCTTATTTAAAAGTAACACACGTTGCACTGTTGAGAAAAGCTGAAAGATTACAGCAACCTAGCAACTAACAGACAGGCTGTTGGGGTGAGCCATCTTGCTTTGTGTCCTGGGCACTGAGAGCTTCCCTCGTAATGGGGTCTCAGGCTTTGTTATTAACCCAGAGAACAAACCTGAAGCAACACTGGCTTTGGCATCAGAGCCTAATTAAAGTTTCATACGCATAACGTGTGCTCCTCTTAAATAAAACTAAGCCCTCACAAAACCCACTTTCTCAGATAACCTTTGTAGCATGTGGGGCAGAAGGGGAGCTTCAACATTAGACTGAAATCTAATGCTTCAGGTGAGGTGGGCTGTGGGGTAGGGAGCCACTGAAAAGAAGAAGCTGAGCAAACATTTTCCTTCACCTTGCTTCTGAATATAGCAAACCAATGCTGAAATGTAGGGATGTCGTGTGGAAAAAAAAAGCCTCAGGGTTTTTCTGTTTTCTAACAAATGCTACAGGGCACACATTTGAGAAAGTACAGCATCTTTACTTGCTCGTTTTGATAAAGCTATCCTCAGCTGTATTTCATCTCAAGTTGGGGCAGGATGTGAGTAAAGAGGCTTTAAAAATATCTATCTCTCACACCCCCACACGTAGAGCAGTAAATACATGCAAGGGCATGTGAGGAACCAGTGATCCAACGTTACTCTAAAAAGAGAGACACCAGAACAAAGTCTGAGAAAAAACATTAACCAATGATAATAAGAATGTCAGTATGTGATAGGTGTTGGAGAAATCAAAAAAAGAAGACGACTTAAGATTGAAATGTGCAAACAGCATTACTTGACTTGGCACTGTGCTGGCAGTGGAGTAGGATTTTCACGATAACTGTTTGGAGGACCATATATACACACATTCATATAAAAAATACGTTTAATGCAAACCACATGTGCCAGCCTGCCCAGGAAGACAGTCACACAGCCACTGATTGCTGGGAAGTTCAGATGCAAAAGATATAAAAAAAATCAGGAAACAGAACAGGGTAAGAAAAAACAGGTTGTCACAAGCACAACATGAAGCTGAGTTGAAAAGTGGTTTAGTCTAGCAAGCAGAAATAACTGTTTTTGCACTGACAGACAAAGCTTGCAGGGGAAGCACTACACCTTGTCAGGTTGACTTGAACAAAGGGCACACAGACCCCTTGTAAGGTCCCTTCTCCCTGCAGGCCTACGTCCTTTGGGAGGGCTGAGGCAGCACAAGAACTGCTGGGAATACTCATCCAAGATTTTTAGCAAGGTATCAGACAGAACTACTCAATGAAAAAAGGAAGCCTGCAAAAACTGACTAAGAAAATGTGTGATTTAACCCTGCAGACACTCTTAATTGTTTTTCCTTTTTTTGTTTCCTTCCACTATTTGCCCATATGCTATGCAGGGCAAAAACCCAGCCTACAAAAATCTTCTGAAATGTTTAACAAGTGATAGTGCTATACAAATAGCAACAATAACTCAGCGGCCTTCTCCTGTTCTGTATATTTATTACGAGCTGCAGGATCACAGCATTCTGCCTCCACATCCCTTGTCCTCCTCTTGCAGTTCACCCGAGCTATGATGCAATGAGAATTTTTGCTCTGAGCCTTTAACGCTCTCAGAGCAGATTCTCACACCAAGCAGCTCCCTGAACCACAGCATTCATCTTCAGCACGAGGCCACCAACTGACTTCCCCCATCAATTTACGGCAGCTCGGAAGCTTGCCCAGTGACCCGCATTGGTTGAGAAGCTGTATAAGCAGTGGAAGCATGGAGGCAGCTGCTTTTAGGCCTGCAGCAGCACGCTCAGCATGAACAGCCTGTACGAAGGTTTCTCTCCCACACATAAAATCAAACTGTTCCGTGCCCCTTTGTGCTGACTGAGCCTCTCTCTCAGATGACGAGCAAGTTGCTATTTACAAAATGCTTTCTCCAGCCCTTTTTGGGAACTCACAGCCATTGATAACTGGCTGGGCTGGTTGGCATTCAGAGGCCCTGCTCAGCTTCTGAGCACACAGCTGGAGTACCCAGGGATGGGCACTGCACGCTATCGCTAAGCCCATTCCATTCATTCGGTTGGAATAATCGCTTGGCATTGCTGCTGTTCTGCAAGTGACAACTTCGAGCATGTTTGCCAGAATTATTTCACCATTTTTTTCCTTTAAGAGGCCAGAGGATCAGTGAAGAGAAATTGCCAGTCCTGTACACGCGCTCCACAATTGGTTCTTTCAGCCACTTGCAGCACAAACGATTTGCAGCAACATGCTCCCCACCTCCTCATGAGTTAACAGCCCAATCCAAGACAAATACATCAAGAAAAGAAAAGCTGGGGACAAGATTAACCGTGCAAGCTTGCTTTTTTCATGACACTCACATTTTTTCTGTTACCCTGTTGCCAGATATTCAAGAGAAAACAAGAGCGTACTCTAATAACAGCTCTGACAGACTGCAAGAGAACAAACCCACTAAGAAATCTTTCTTTTTGGCTCTTCACAGGGCTCTCTTGCACTCAGAAAACATCACTTTGATGCCCTGTTTGCATGCCATTTCCAACAACAAGGAGGAGGATGGAGGTCTCCTGTTTCTATGACTACCCAGATGGGCCACGATACAAGATATTTACCAGCTTTGGACTGCGGGGATGGCAGAGCAAATTAAACTAGAGTTTACATTACTTCACAGAAACTAAAAAGAAAGAAGAAATCCAAACAAAACAGGAACGTCAAGGAAGGATAACATCCCCTTAGAGCACTCCAAAAGATTTTTGAAAGTAGACGATGAAGAGAGATATTTCTCTACAAAAATAAAGAATAACGTAAACACAAACAAACCGAAACCCTAATTTACATGAGTAAATGTTTTCATTAAAACTAGACTACTGGAAAATTACCATCAGACATCAGAAGCAAAAAATAGGTCCCCAAAATAACATGATTTTATTAATTTACTGAACTCATGAATGGGTACATTAGTCACCCCAGCATTTTGCAGGGCTTGTTTAGCTGTGTGAGCTGCACTTTGTAACACAAGTTGTTTTTCTGCTGCTTATCCCTGCTCTGGCCTTGTACTACATTTTGTCAAAGGCAAAATACCCTGTATTCTAATAGAAGAAGTGAAGTTAGTAACAGCAACATATTCCACTAGCACTAGCAAAACTGCAAAAGAATGTGATGTGTATTCTGTGACTTCCTTTGTCAGCTAGTGGAAAGGTGGACTTTGCACGTTTCTCAAAGGCAGCAGCTTCCCATGTGCACACCCACTCAGTGCTCTGGGAAGGCAGGTGACTGCAATGGGCAAGCAGGTCTAGGCAGTGCGAGTAAAATGCTTTCTGGAGAAAGAACCTGTAAAAGCTATTAGTAAGCTTTTTGGGTATGACATACCTAAATGTGGTCTCCTGTAACAAACCAAGCTGAAGAATTTCTTAAATATGTATTTCAAGGCTTGCTATTTTGAAAATGTGTGTATTTTAATCTTCTGACACAAGCTAGGTATTAGTCACTGTCCTTTCAAGTTTCTTTCCTTCTTTCAACCTAACCACAAGCCAGCTAATAGCCTTCATTAAATATGTGATATGTGCAAGGCTCGTAGGAAGATGGCTCACCGTGGACTTCTAGAGGCTTATGTTGTTTGGGGAGGGGAGAGGCAGACGAG